CTAATGGACAGTAGGAAACGTAACAGGCGGGCACACTGGACCGTTAAGGGAGCCAACGTCTTTAACGCGATTTGACAGCACAAAGGAACGTGCGCGCGGCAACATGCAAAACACACTCGCACGAGCTGCACATACTTGTACACAAAGCTGCATATCGACATATTTTTTTTTATTAAACCTACTTCTTGCGAAACTATTCTAGTGCTGATAAAATACGCTTGGCGTCCGGAACATCATAATACTTTTCAACTCAACACACACATTGTAAAAGAGTATTATATTGCCCATCTTGGGCGAGGGGGAGTGATCATTTTCAAACAGATTTGGGCATTGCTACCGGTAAGCTGTGTGGCGAGTTGTGCAGCAATTGGTTTTGGAGTTTGGTTTGTTTTGAGAAGTGCCCTCAGACTGACAAGACACACGGACCCCTCATGTGACGTTTGCCAGGTTAGAGCGATAAAGCAGCCTTTGCGGTTCAGCTTAAAAAATAAATTGACAACAAATGTCACCACGGTGCACGTCCGGGATGCACCACGTGCGGTTGTTGTTGTTACATAGCGGAACAACCCCGAAAGCAACATCGGAGAGCTTTACGGCACAGCTGCAAACACCTACACGGTATCATTTCACCATACCAAATAAATACGCTCGGGACAGCCGTAGCGGCACGGCTATCACTGCACAAACATTCATAATAACAGCCGTTGTGTAAAAAAACAAACCCCCCCACACATTAAATAAATAACTCGGCGATCTTGTTCGCGGCCTAGCGAGCGGCTATTTTGCGTGCGATGAAGCCAGGAGCTTGCTCAGCTGTGCAGACCCCCGGGGGGCGGTCCCTGCGCGCACGCGCCCAGGGGGAGTGTCACTTACCGTCCCCGACACGCTCACCCGCTGCCCCCGGCTCGCTCGCTCCAGCACGTGCGCTTTAATCCCGCGGAATGTGGACATTAAGTGGGCATTAGCGGCCAGCCACCCCCCCACCCTCCCCACTGGAGCCGGCTGAATTGCGTGCCGTTTGTATGTTTGTTGAACTTCTTTCGCACCGTACGTAGCCAACTGTGCTAATCGAAGGTGCGGGGGAGGACGACAAACTAAACACAAAAAAGCGGTTTCAAAGAAATGAATTTTCAATCTCTAATGACTCCAGGGTGAAGACAGAGAGATGCTGGGGGTTGGGGTGGTGGGTGGCTGGGTGGCGGGGGGGCGAGGTGGGGGGCACAGCGTAGAGGGGAGGGAGATGCCCCGCATTCTCGTGCTCGTAAGCCACGGGGTACAAAAATACACGCGCCCACAAAGTCCGGTCTGTGTGTCCACACGTACGTGCAACGTGTGTTGATCCGTCACCAAAGCCTGTCGGCTTTCCAGACTAATGTTATTCATTTGGAGCATTTGTTTAAGCAAGCAACCAGAATGTGAAATTGTAGTTGTTGGTCTGCATCTGCATCAGCCAGAGGAAAGGCAGACCTTCCCAGGTCTTTATCAGCAGTCAGAATTTATTTGACAAACCTGACTTTCTTGATCAGACCCTGAAGATCGAAACTAGGTCAAGAGTTGCTTACTTCAATAAATGCCACTCGAAAATATTGCTTTGGAATGGCAATAATCGCCTGACAGACTAATACCTATTTGTATGTGGAGTTACAAAACGGAGTTCTCCTGATACTTGCTTTTACCCATAATGCTGCACAGTAACCTGCCGGCGCTCGAAGGCAATGAGCGGTACACTGCTGGTGCATCAAGACAAGGACAATGATCCCCCGTATAGCCTTCAACAGTCTGTTGGGTCAAGTGCTGTTAGCGAGCACCTCCAAAGGCCGGTACGGCATACAAGGGGGTGGGTGGCCAGCACCACGCCCAACCGCCTTTGTCTCTCCAGTAGCGATGTTTACACATCGCACTAGGTACTCATTTGAGACTGAGTCGACCTAGGGGAGTACCAGGACCAGTTCAGATAATCTCCACCAGTATTGGCCATGAGTGGGAATCGATCTCGAGTGTGCCAGCCGCTACCCCACCGCTCCCCACTACTAGTGCCTCACCTCGCCCCCCCCCCCCCCCCCCCCCCCGCCGTGACACTCGCTCCGGCCTCTGCCACATCCGCGTGAGATCGGCGAGTGTTCGGGCGGCCAGGCATCCTCGCCGGTCAGTGCACAAACTGACCCGCGAGGACGTGCACCAAGCCTGCAGGCCACCTCTGCGGAGGATCGGCGCGACGATTCGTCTGCGGCAGTACAAACGGACGACAGAGGCGGCACCCCGGTCCTTCGCAAGAGAGGGCTCCCGTGAGTTAAAGTGACAAAATTCGAAATATGTGTGACATCGACCAAAGTCACCGTGGTTACCAAGGTCTCGCTTACATAAGGGGAAGCGTATCTCATGAGGTTGCTTCTCCGACGAATGACACGGTTGAGTTATAACCTCTGGTCAATGTCCCATCTCCCCGGGGTCTTATCTATCTCCAGAAAACCTGGTCTGAGCTCTTCATACTCATCGCCAAGGGCGCCGTGCGTTACCAAAAGGCCACCGCCGGACGAATCCGGCCGGAACACGCGGCCACCGCTCGCGGCGGGAAGGATGGCTCCCCGAAGCCATCGCGACACGTCAGGTGGATCGTATTCTTGTTTACGCCTGGCCCTGGAGGCGCGTGTGCCACGTTACGCCCTGCCAGCGGCATTATCCGTCACAGTGCCGGAGGGATCTGCATTGCGCCTCTACAGCGGTCTGTCCCGATGCTAAAGACAACGTGCTTTCTTGAACAAAGTCAAGGGCGAGGTCAGACGGGTTACGACGGGACTATGCCGCCACTGCTACCCATGCCACGCCACCGCTTCCTCCCTTCTGCTAGAAGCCGCAGCTGTTGTAAAGTCGAGAACCGTCCGCCAAAGGTTTACGTTTCTCGGAGCCGTCGTGCAAATCCTCGTTAATGAACGGTATCATCTCGGGTGCCGCCATTTGTTCCTCTAGCCGTGATCACCTGACACGTCTGCGCTGAAGTGGGGGGCAGCGGCGAGCTAAGCCCCGACGTGCGCCCTTCCCTCATCTTCCTCCTCCCACATCTAAAGGCCCACCCGGGCCAACTTATTACCTCTGCCGACAGCTGCATCTCACTGCCGGTGCGTGAATAATTGATCGGCCGGTAAGTTGTTGTGCTCGCTTCCCATTCCTGTGAAAGGACTGCAGCTATTCCCCTTTGTTCCATGACAGGAACCAGACTATCAGCACTTTCTCCATGTGAAGTCTTTTCAAGCAATAAAACCGAAGAGACCTGTCCCAGTTCAACCCGCGGGCACAAAACACGATGAACCGCGCTCACTTTTTCTGCTGCTGCCTCAAAGGAGGAGGGTTTTAATGAACAGGTCTGGGCTCTCCCCAATGGCTCACCGCCTTCCCGTTGCATCATTAAAAAACAAAGTCAAAATCGGAACGAGCGTGCCACCACCACTACCATCTCCGCCACGGAGCTGTTATCTGCATAGCCACGTCCCGCCTAACCGCCGCCTGCCCCCACGTGCCTGATCCATCACTGCATGCCCTCTGCCTTCTGTCTCCATTTCCAATTTTACATCCCTCCCGACCCCAGCATCTCCCGAGACACCATAGTGCTCGCGAAGCTGCTTGTATGTGTTGAACTTCTTTATCTAAAACTATATACAATTTTTTTTATTTTACCAGGTAAGGCCCACTGAGCTATATAGCTCTTTTTTTTGTAAGTCACCTGGTCATCACAAATGATAACTCAACCAAGTGGCTCATCGTGCAGAAATTTGCAGCAGCCAAATACGTTTGTAAATATGGAGAAAAAAACTGTAGGGCCCGGAGAAAAATCCACGCGGCCACGGGGAGATAGACATGCGTACTCCAAATATACAGCAGGCGTCAGGGTCGGGATTGAACCTAACACCTCATGTGTACCAGGCGAGGGAGTTAACATCTCGCCACTGTGGAGTCCTCGCACTGTACGTAACCAACAGCGCGCTAATCGGAGGTGCGGGGCGGAAGGACAACAAACTAAACACAAAAAGCAGTTCTCAAGAAATGGCTTGCCGGACATGCCGGCAGAAACAGCGCAACACGCGCACCCACAAACTGCGAACGAGCACCATCGCACCTCGTCATCCACCGCCACCTTTCCTTGCCTTCATCCCACTCCACAGGCCCAGTTGCCCAACAGATTCATCCGCACAGCCCAAGAATTCGCCTGTTTAAAAAAACTAACCGCGCCTTATCGTGTAAACCCACACCTTTTAGTTAAGACGGTCTGAATCTCATCCTTCACCGCTCGGATTTATGAAATCCCACTCACCCCAGCCGCTGGTCGAGGGCCTGGTCTGCCGGACCGTCCCTTGGGACTGGATTTTTTTTTTCTGCACGCGATGGAGGGGTAGCGGGGTCACGTTTACATGCTTCCAGTCGGGCTGGGATCTCCGCGTGGCGTCAGGGGAGCTGCCAGGCAATCCAGACCACGACTCTATCAATCTCCGTCTTCACTTCCGCGACGGCGCAAGGGGGGAAGGGGGGTGAAGGGGCGGGGGGCAGCTTCCTCGCCCCAGACCGTGGGAGCTGTCCTCCCTTAACCCCTTTTGGCAGCGGCCGGCCGTCCCACGCGACGCGACGGAAGCCTTCGCGGATTACTCTCTAAGCCCTTTTCGCAATTTCATTTCCCAGCTTCGTCTCCTTTGGCCCTTATTTTGCCATCTTGCTCTGTCAATTCGGGCTCGCACCCGAAAAGACCTTTGCACTCTCATCAACCAGCCGTCCCATCGAATGGCACGCGAAGTGCCGATCCTCGCGAGGGGGGGGGGGGCGCATAGCTTTGCGGTAAAAAACGATCGTAACTGCCGACAATGAAGCGGTACCTGGCACCAACTTAAAAAAGGAAAGCGTGAACCGGAAAAGCGAACAGCCCTTGCGTTGTGAGAATGCGCCTCGTGTGAGAGTGTAAGCGGGTGTAAGGAGAGTGCAAGTGTGAGCGCGAGCAGTGCGTGTGAAACACTCACCCCAAGTGGTCCTGTCTCTCCGCCAAGCGGTCGATGAGGATGTGGAGGCGCTCCCAGCGCATGCGGCTGCACTCCTTGTGGAAGTCAAACGCCTCATACCTGCACGGCGCGCACGCGCACACACACACAAAGACCCCCTTGTATAGCCTGTGCGGGGAACGGTGGCGTAGCGGTTACCGCGCTGCGCTAGAAACCCGGTGACCCAGGTTCGATTCCCGCTCACGGTCGACACCAGTGACAATTATCTGAACCGGTCCTGGGCCTCCTCTAGGGTGACTCGGCCTCAAATGAGAGTACCGAGTGTGGGGTGTAAACATCGTCACTAGGGAGACAAAGGCGGCTGGGCGTGGTGTTGGCCACCCACCCCCTCGAGTACCATTCCAGCCTGCATAGGTGCTCGCTAACAGCACTTGCCCCTACAACACACGCATGCACACATGCGCAAACATACGTACACACGTACACATACACATGCGTGCAAACACCTCCGATTATCACGGTTGGCTACATACAGTGCAAAATAAGTTCAACATATATACACACAAAGAGCATCCTTTACTTTAGCCAAAGGGACTGTTCGAGCCAGAGGTGTCCATGATAAGTTGTAAAAATAATCATTTATTTATTTATCCAGGCAAGCCATGCCAAGTTGTCAGACTCTTCTTCAGTAGAGTTCTGCTGCTGCTACATTGGGGTTTTATTTTAAGATGTTTTCAGACAATTAATGATGAGCTGTGTTTAAACAAGCGGAAGGAAGCGGAAGGAAGCCGGAGCACCCAGAAAAAAAACCCACGCGTGCTATGGGGCAACGCCCTATCGTCGTATAGATGAAAACAGATGGCGATAAGTCCACTTGTTGGAGCGCATTGTCCGAACCAGCCAGGTGTATGGCACCTCCTCAACGGCCACGGGAAGGGAGTTTCACAACATTTGTGCGGCGATCCACCGACCCTCGCCTCCACAGTACACTGGGTTACATGCCACCCGCGTAGCTAACCTACGAAGTCTGACGCGGTAAGGCGAGTGGGTGTGTGGCCGGCGCCACGCATGCTGCCTGATGCCAGTATCCATGGTTACACACCGCCGCACCAGGTACTCATTTTAGGAAGAGTTGACCTAGGGGGAGGCCCAGGACCGGTTCGGATATTCATCGCCGATGTTGGATGCGGCCATGAATCGATGCCGAAAGTAAATAATTTTATTCGATTAGACCAGTCGAGTTCTTTACCTGGGGTGCACGCACCCCCTGGGAGTGCGAGATGCCCTTTTTGGAGGTGCCAAGACATGGCCAGATTTCTTTAGAAGGTAAATCATCAAAACCCAAATTAAACTAATTTGTTTCATCAAACGCTATCTACTTATTAACATTATAAATGTTTTAATGATTGAGAACCGAAGGGCTGACGGAAAGGTTAAGAACCACTGAGTTAGACAATGCAGTGCGCTAACCATTGTGCTCCCACCAAGAACACACGCTGTTCCAAATACACCAACACATTAGTTTGTGCAGTCCGAGATCCTATGAAACCGATTTGATTTTCACGTCTGGGAATTGTTTAAGGAGAGAAGAACGTAGAACAAGGGAAAGTGAACAGAGAGAGAAAGTTGGGAAGACGGTACCAGAGAGAGCAAAGGCAGAGAAAGAAAAGTAAAAAAAGTGAGGACAATAGGGAGAAAGGGAGAGAGAGCAACAGAGAGAACACGAGAGAGGGATACGGACAGAGTGAGACAGAGAGAGCAAAGAGAAGGCACCAAGGGGGAGAGAAATGGTGGGGGAGAGAGAGGGTTGGGCAAGAGGCAGAGAGAAAATGAAAGAAAAAGTAAAGATGAAACAGAGATGGGGGAGGAGAGAGAAGGAAACCGAGAGAGAGGGGGTACGGGGGGGGAGACACGGCGATACGGAGAGCACATGAGGGAAAGAGAAGGTCGAGGGAGAAAGAGAGAATGGGGGAGAGAACGAGATAGCCTAAGGGTAGCAGGAAGGGCGGTTCGCTCACTGGATCCAATCGCTGCCCAGACGCTTGGTCAGCGCCGCAAATGCCTCCTCCAGCCTCTTCTCCGAGCCCTTGTGGTCCACCTTGGAGGGTGAGGGGTGGGGGGAAACCGCATACCCAGGAGCCATGGTTATTCACCAGAGCCAGGACATGCAGCCAAGTAGCCGGGGCGATGAGTCGGATGGCAGATTTTTTACGCTTCCGAACGAAGGATGAAAGCCTTTGGCCATTGGCTCATTAGCTCCGTCTGTCTGTCGGCCCGTCCATCTGTGACGAAGGGGAGGGGTGGGACAAAGCTGTTGTGTAGAGCTGCAGCCCCATTAGGGATATCGTCCAATTAAAATCCGGCCACGTTGATCAAAGAATCACAGCAAAAAAATTTGAGTGTTAGCATAAATTATGAATGAAGTTTTCCCATGTAGACTACTTGTCGGATATATGCAAAGGAGTATTTTCTTTCCTGCCAGATACCCGTCAGCTTTCATACTGCTCGTTAAACACGTGCACAGATGAAAACCAGGGTGGAAAGCGTTGCATAATCCTTGCCTATGCAATATTTTCAAAACTTGTTTTACTTAAAAGCGTTTGTCATGCTCTTCTGCTTTGTATGTCGAGGTTATGAAGCCACTCAGTGGCCTCCGTGGAGGCTGGGTTGAACTCGGTGACATTGCCCGCTGACCCATGCTCTGTGAATCGGAGGTGCGGGAGGCAGCTTGGGATAAGCTGATCCATGTTCTGTGAATCAGCGGTGCAGGGAGCAGTGTGGGATCAGCTGATCCATGCTCTGTGAATCAGCGGTGCAGGGAGCAGCGTAGGGTCAGCTGATGCACGGTGTGCGAATCGGAGGTGCAGGAGGCAGTGTGGGATCGTCTCATCCATACTGCGATCAACCACCACACTGTAGGTCACAACAAAGACAAATACAAAGGTCCCCCTCATAGACTTAACAGACTTTTGGGGCAAGTGCTTTTAGTGAACACCTATGAAGGCTGGCACGGTACACGCCCGACCGCCTTTGTCTCCCCAGTGGTGATGATTTTTACACACCGCACCAGGTACTCATTTGAGGCCGAGTCGACCTAGGTGAGGCCCAGGCCAGCACCACAACAACACACTCGCTCGCTCACCCACTCACTCACCCACCCACATATCCACTCGTTAACTCACTCGTGCACTCACCTAATCAAGCACTCACTCCCCCAACGACTCGCCCACTCACCACACGGCAGGTCACCTCAATTCTATTTCTGCTTCTTCCCTCGCGCTACTCCACTTTGGAATTCCATCCCAATCATCATCATCTCTTTTCCAAGCTCTTCTAACAACTTTGTTCAATTATAAAAAAATATATAAAGTATTACCCTCTTATCTATTACAGCTTTGTAAAAAAAAAGGATATGATCGTGTCATTTGTAATGAATTGCAATCACGGTGTAATTTCATCTGTCCTCACAGATAATAATGCCGCTCTGATTGGAATTATAATTGACCCTCGGTGAGGTTGGTAGATCGTGTAGGCGTGTGAAACTCCCACATGTACAGCGAGCGGGTTCGTGAACATGTGTACTAGACCTCAGAGTGTTATCCCCCCTGTACGTTTCAATTTTCTCCGGTTATTCTGCCATTCTTCCACTTGCAAAAAAAAATATCCTTAAATAGGAATTGGCCAAACACCCCAAGGTAGCAGGATCCTCCTGAATGAGTGCCTATTGGCACTCAGGAAGGTTCTTCCTGGAAAAAGTAAAACTATTTTTAATATCTTCCCTCTCTCTATTGAAACTCAATCTTTTATTGAGTCATAAATCCTTCTGGACCTCACCGTGAAGTCGTTTGGTTCTCCGAGCCTTGGGCATTTTCCACCGACTCATGAGATTCTTGACAACGGGGGTCACAGGAGGTAAAGGCGGAGCCCTGCAATTGCTTGCTCACACCACCGCTGTCGGAAGGGCTTCCGCTAACAGCGGGCGCTCTAGAGAGCCCCCCTCTGGAAGGGTATTTGGCCTACTCTTTCATACTGGTCTGACGTCTTGGAAGAGGTGAGAGTATCCACATTTTCTCCCACCACATACAACCCGCCGATCGACAAACCTACTTGTACTGCTAGGTGGACAGAGGCGGTTGAGAGATGGAATCGAACCAGTGGGCGACCTTTGGATTGCAAATAATGCGCTACGCCCGTACACCGCACACACACTCCCTACGTGCGCCCCTCCCCCATGCCCCCACCCTTCCACTCCCCACCACCTCCACACCTCCCCCTACCTCCTTAGCTTACCAGGCTGATGTTAAATCAACAAAAGTTAATATCCAACTCCCGCAAGACAAATGCTAAATCATAAAAACGCCTGCTGGAGTAATGCAATACTAAATTACATGAAGATGAATCAAGGCTAATAACACGTAACGTATTGCCGAGCCGGGTAACACTAACTCGCAAAAGTATATGTTTGCAATAATGGTTGCTTTAATATTGTATGAAAACACGGGAAAGAGAGCACATTTTCAACGAATTAAAAACAGAGAGAGAAAATCATCCAGCGGGCTGGGACAGGACAACACGGCTGGATGGGGTGATGGTTACCAACATGAGGACTGGCAATGAAGCAGTAGGTAAAGGAGGGAATGGAACCGAGATGACACCCACTGAAGAGACAGAGCGATGAAATGTAACCCATGTGCAGGAGTGAGATGGGATTGTGGCATCGAAGGACCGTGACAGATGGAGCCAACTTGTGGAGGCCTTCATCCAGCAGTGGGGAGACAATGATTGATGCTGATTAAGATGATGACAATGACTACTCAAGGTCTCCAAGCAAAACTGAGCTCATACCTGAACGGGCTCTCTCATTAACTTGAACTGACCTGAATTGACCTGAGCATCAGTACAAAAAGAACATCGCTCTTTTTTTTCCTTGCATTTATTATCGAGTGCACATGCCACACATCAGCCACGATGAAAGTGCCTTCGTAATCGCACGTGAAGTGGAGATTCCGCCCCCCGCGGCAGGGTGATTGGGCGAGCGGGGCGACCGCGTGGGCGAGCAAGCGAACGTGGAGCGAGTTGCACGAGAACTAGCGAGCAGGCGGGCGAACAGAAGGGTGGGCGGGCAACTGGGTAATTGGGTGAGCGTGTGCATGGGTGGGTGCGTGCGTGGTTGGGTGCGTGCGTGGGTGGGTGGGTGGATTGGTTCTGGTGGGTGGAATTGGTTGGATGGGTTTGCGGGAACAAGCAAGCATGTACTAGAGTAGGAGGCCAGATGTGCAGGTGGGTGCGCGGGTGGTGGAGCGGGTGGTTGAGCAGGTGGGTGAGCGAGTAGGTGAGCGAGTAGGTGAGCGGGTGGGTGAGTGTGGACGAGCGGATGGGTGAGTGAGCGGGTTGGTGAGTGAACCAACCCAGCAGTCTTACCAGGTTAACCACGATCTGTTTGCCGTAGCTCACCATCTGGCTGTCAAAGTGCCTCTGGAACCCATCCAGCTGTGGGAGACAAAAGCACACGGAGGACGCCAACCCCTTGAGCAAGTGACATTTTAACCTTTTTCGTATTAAACATAGATTTGAAATATAAATCACCTTGGATATATTATTATTATTTTTACATAGATTTTCTGCCCTATGACCTGCCCTGCCACACTCTCACTCGATACATTACCGATCGGCACCTTCTGAAAAATGCAATTTTTCATATCATGGGCAGCCGAGTAAGCAAATCATATGATCATCACAGATGGCCACCACCCCAACACCCCCCTGACCCCCCCAACACCCCACCCACCCAACCCCACCCACCCAACCCCACCCATCCAACCCCCCCCACCCACACAACCCTGACCCCCCTCACCCACCCAACCCCCCCACCCCCACCTCCCGGCCGGCTATTTTATAATTCGTTGGTAAGCTATATAAATTATATTTATTTATAAACAAATTATTTGGTTATACCACATTGGGAGTGGTGCCTCAAATAACAAAAACTCAACGCAATCATCAACAACACGTGCTATGAAAGAAAAGCCCAATGCTCAAAATGTAACCAATTTGATAGTTTATTTCCCCGCTTTTCAGACAGCACGGTTATTGGTGAATGTGATGATCGCGAAATCCGAGCCAACGTGTTTAATGTAACTGGATCGCATTTAGTTTTTGTGCGGTCATTGACGATCGACTCGCTGCACTCGAGAATCCGGTTGAATCAGAGGGAGGTGCGTGGACTTGAACCCACCCAGGATCTCAGCTTTGCCAGCTCAGTGTTCTGACCTCGACTCACCTGGCATCACACCAGGGTCAGCTCAAGTCTGAATCGAGCACCTGCTTCGGTGCACGAAAACCGGTGTCCTTCACTCGTTTTTTTTGGTGGGGGGGGCACTTTTGCCGGTAAAACATCATCAGCGTGTGAGGGCCGCCACACATTTTAAACCATTGTTGGGGTTTGTGACAGCACGATGATTGGGGCGTGTTTTAACATTTGTGTATATTGTTGGGGGGCCGCACTAAAGGGCACCAGGGGCCGCTAGTGACCCGCGGGCCTTGCAGTGAAGAATACTGGCGTAAGCAAATCTAGCACGCGAACGACCCTGAATGGAAGGGGGTGACTCACGTGGTTGAGGGAGGTGCTGATCTGGGGTCGAGGTTTGTACTTGAGATCTGGGCGCTGAGACCAGTAGAAAGGCATAGATCCGCGCGTCTGCATTGTACAAAAACAAAAATCCCCCGTACAGCCTTAACGGACTTTTGTGGCAAGTGGTGTTAGCAAGCATCACCTATGAAGGCCGGAACGGCACACAAAGGGGGTTGGTGGCCAGCACCACACGTACACAAGTACACACACGCAACCATCGCCAACATCATCCCCCATCAACGTCGCCATGTCAACAGCAGGAGTGACGAGCAACATTGACAATCACCCGTGTCAACATCACCATCACTAAGCGAGCGCTGCATTGCGAGCAACAACCACAGCAACAATATCAGTGCTGCCATCAACAGTGGCATTCAAGCCACAAATATGCAGCCCCATCAGCAACAGAAGCCACCAAAACCACAATTCGCATCACAATTACATCGTCTCTAATGGTTACAAATTGCTTAAATTTTGTCTGAATTTTTTCCGCACCAGAAGCTAACGAGCCTAATTGTGTTTAATTAAACTTAATTTACAGAGGGGGGGGGACAAATAATAGTAAACCTGGGAGCGGGGGATAGGCTCGCATGGCAGCAACGGATGAGTCGTGCAGACAGAATGTAACACCTGGGGAACTACTAACGTGACATCACAAACGAGCGTGGCCATCTGACACCCCCCTGCCCGCTCCCCGCCCCCCCACTAAATCTGTTGCAAGTTCAACAAGATGGGGGGGGAAGGGGAGGGTTGTGGAATGCAATCTGCGGAACCCTCGGGATGCTGAGATAGAGCGGGAAGTCTGTGGTGAAGTTTGGAGTGTGGAGGATTCTATCTGGGCGAGTGTGAGACTGGTGTGTGCCAGATGTGTGGTATGTGTGACCGAGTGTGTGTGTTGTATGAACAGTGTTTGTGTGAAACTGGCATGTGCCGGGTGTATGGTATGTGTGAGTGTGAGCGAGCCTTCGACACTTCAAGTGGCCTCAAAGTGAACTTTGCCTGGCCCATGCGCCGTGGTGATGTCACCGTCACTTGGTGGCAAATGGCGGGTATTGGTATCTGGCGTGCATGTTGTATGAGCACTGTGCGTGTGTGAGTGCAACTGGTGTGTGCCAGATGCGTGGAATGTGTGAGCGAGTGTGCGTGTTTGTGTCTGGTGCGTGTTGCATGAACACTGTGTGTGCGTGATCATGGGGGTTGGCTGGGAAGTGGGAATTCAACCCCAACCTGCACAAAGGAAGCCTTGTTGCCGCCGTAGAACACAATCTGCTCCGTCTCCACAAAGTTTGCCGCGTGCCCCTCTTGGTCGATGCCTGCCAAGCGGGGGAGGGGGGGGGGGACGAGACGATCATAAACGCTGAGAGCCGGACGACTCTGGGCCCAAGGTCGACCCCAATGACGCCGGCATCGCCGTCGCCTCGACGCACCTCGACGCCACCACGAGCCAGGCTAATTCCGCCCGCTCGGAACAAACCAGCACCGCTCTTCATTGTCACAGCGGAGCGGTCGGCATCAACTCGGGTTGTCGGCGTCTTAATCTCACCGATCAGCTGAGCAGCTTCAATGCCCCACAACAAGCACATTTTATATATATACTGAAAGTAAAAACCAATAACGTTGCCTACGTATATAATCGGTGTAATTTCAGGGTAATGTAGCGTCTTTAAATGATGTCCTATGAAATATCCCATCGCCCAAAAACGCCGCCTATTAATTTTCCTCGTCAGGCCAGTGTTATTGGTGGACGTGTCGAGTTGTTATTTGTGCTCATGCACCACTGATAGCACCGTATCACCAACTAATTTGTTCACATATATTGAGTGGGTTAGGGGTACTTCTATTTGCTTTTAATCCCCGTTGAGTGTCACAGACACCTCGAATAAGTCGCTTGAATTCAAAAACGGAGGTGTTGATGGGAGGCGAGGCCTGTGCCTCACCAGGTTTGCCTACCGGCTCCACTGTCCCCCGGCCCAGGCAAAGGCACCGGTGGGCATCGCGGATTGGTCGTTCGTTGTCGACACAACCCACGACACCACACCGACGTTCTACATGACCATTCTATGCACATGGAAAATGTGTCGTGGTGGCGAGATGTTAACTCCCTCGCCAAGTATGCAGGAGGTCGTGGGTTCGATCCCAACCCTGACGCCTGTATATTTGGAGTTTTGATGGTCTCCCTATGGTCGCGTGGATTTTTCTTCCAGGTCCTCCGGTTTTTACCTCCACATTGAGAATCAACATCCGTTTAGAGTATTTGGCTGCTATACATTTCCACACATAAAGCCACTTCATTGGGCTATAATTTGTGGACAGGTCTCTTCTGAAAAGGAGCTTTATAGCTCAGTGGGCCTTACCTGGTAAAATAAAAAAAATTTTACTAGTTTAGTTTTATGTTCACTTGATTCCCATTCAATCCGGTTATTGATGAGATTTGATCTGAAGCACGCGACCCTGGCTGCCGGTAACACCATCACACACACGGTCGCCCGGCGCTGACTAATGCGCTAGCCCACTCGCGCACTCGCACGCAATCCAATAGAAACGTTTCTTGCGGCACGACTTTCCCCAAAGGACAACAACCGCGCCTCGCCTCTCAGGTAGTAGCGAACGCCGGCGCGGTAGCAGCTGCGGCGCGAGATGAGGATCCAGTCGAACACCTTCCCGTTGACGACGCACGCCTTGACGGACAGGACTGGGGGCGGCGCCGTCAAGGAGACCACTCTCCGTGCCACGTCGCCAACGAGACTGGCCCAGCCATATCCCCCGCCCTCTGACCACCGCCCTCCCGTCGCCACCACCGCGTCCAAGCACTTCCTCGCTGTTAAACAAACCCTGTTTTCAGGTACAGATGCTGCCCTGAAATTACTCCTTTCACGCCACCCCCAGCAGAAAAGCCTTCACGACAGGGAGCTCTGGAGAGCCCGTCGAGCAGCTCTGTTTGGCCTACTCTTGCACGCTCGGCTAGACATCTTGGAAGAGCTGGGAGCATCCAATCTTTACTCCCCCTTACACATAACCTGCCAGTCAACCGCATAATACCGATTTACACTGCTGGTTTGAGCAGAGGCGGAAGGATTTAAGAATGTTGCCCATCGCTTCAGCTGCCTAGTCGGGAGATAGAGAACAGCGACCTCTGGATTGCAAGTCCAGCGTAGGAACAATACACAACGGTGGGCATCCGGGCATAACCCGTCAGAAGATTAATTCACATTTAAGAAACGCATCCAATTACCGGCACGGCTGGCCAATTAAAACCCAAGCAAGCATGAGCGCCGTCGAAATTCTTATGCAGGCTCTGGGTTTTATCTATTGGGTTAAATGAAGAGTATTTAATTTGCATTGTTGTGGCTGTTACGTGCGCATACTATATGACAAAAAGTCTCCAACAAGCTACTTAAAAGAGTACAGCCGTTCCTGCAGACCAAGGTCACGGTCAACACGCGCTCGTTACAGCGAGGGTCACATCCAACACGCGCTCGGCAGACTAAAGTTGGAGCTACCTGGTGTCAAGTGCCGACTCTTCAGTTAATTGTTAATTTGCGCACGAGCCCCACGTGCCTGACCGCACGTGAAAACATTTAAATTTCCCATTTTAAAATGGATAAATTAGTCAACTCGCTATTATCCATGGTGATTGGGGATGGGAGGCAGGTGGTGATGAATATCGCAGATAAAAACCAAAAGGACAGGTCATGCTAAACTTATTTAAATTAGGCTACAAAAAAATATTTGATTACCGACATAATAGAATGCTGGTGGGGCGCAAACATACAGACCACAGAGACCCACTGACTCACTAATAGATGGCCATGATTAAACGGAGTTCTCATGTTCAGCGAGCTGATGGTTTTAAGTTGGTCACCAGAGGTGGCATAAAACATCATGTTAAATGTTGGGTGCCACTTGATTTCGATGCTATAAATTTCCATGCAATATGCGACTTCATTGAACTACCATTTGTGGTCAGGTCGCTTCTGAAGAAGAGTGAAATAGCTCAGTGGGCCTTACCTGGTAACAAATATTAAAGTTTATAGTTCGTTTTATGTTCACTTGATTCACCTTTAATCCAGTGGTTGATGAGATTTTACCAGAAGCACACGACTTTGGCCACCGCATGGTTGCCCGGCGCTGGCTAATGTGCCCGCCCAACTGCTCGTGCGTGCAGTAGGCGAGAGTTTAACTGTGGTATGATGCTCCCACGGCCGGAACTCGTGGCCAACGTGGCGCTGCCATGTGGCAAACAGAAAGGATACAGCCGTGAATGAGCGGCACGGCAAAGCGGTGCAGCTCCGGGACGGTGAGCAACTCCCGCAGCAGGTGACCATTCCACACGAACCGCTGGTCGGCCTGGCGTGCACACGGGGTCAACGGGGATGACGGGCACGGCAAGGGGCGACTTAAAAAGGATGCTTAACAAAAAACAATACTCGCATCCAGGACACGCACATGTAGTGGGCATAATAAACTAGGCACCCGATTTAAAGTCAGTTGTCAGCCGGGACGCATCAAAACTGAGAATGATCCAGGATGGTCGTGATAGCAGTCTACCAGCTTAAAGGGGCAGTTTGCGGTGTGGTTCGCGGTGTGGTTTGCGGTGAAGTTGTGTGCGTGGTACGTGGTGCAATTTTGTGCAGATTGTGGTGCGGCGGTGGTGAGGTTGTGGTGAGGTTGAGGCGAGGTTGTGTGTGCGGGGATGACATGCGGTGGGGCACCCGCTCGCAGAGGGACATCTCGTGGAAGTCGGGGCTGGTGTTGGCCAGGCGCTGCAGGCTGTGCGTCAGGTCGAATGTGCAGGAGAAGAAGAAGCTCTCCGTGTGCAGGACGCCGCGCAGCATCATCAGCAGCGTCTTGTTATCCTGAGCCTGGAGACGCAGAGGGAGCGCCAGAGGGGAGGTGAGCAGAGGGCGCAAAGCAGGAGGGTGGCCACGCAGATCGGATCCCTACTCATCATGGATTGGAGGAGTTCTGACCCTCAGCCCATAACGTTGGAGAGGGACAGAGGAGGCCTGAAGGCTCAAGTCTCCAAACGAAATTCTCATGGTCAAGGCAAAAATGTTGGCGGCAATATTTAACACCAGTGGCGGTTTGCTGCAACAGGAAGAGGGTGACAATTGACATAAATTTGAGTAAATGTAACCAACTGCACCTGCCAATTGGTAACATTTGCTCAAAAAGACAAGAGAACCACAATACACTTCTTCAGGAAATGCTGAAATGTTTTGCATTAGCAAAGATTTCGTGTGCCCTTTACACATTCTAGTGAGCGGTCAGCATGAATTTAAAGTTTGCTTAACAGTGATGGTGTCATGCCCACACCTAAGTTGTTGCATGCCGCCCTTTAAACAAGGTAAAGCTGGAGTGTTTTGCAAGGCCACACCTGCAGATCCGTCAGGTGCAGGATGGTCTTCTGGTAGGAGAGGATGTCAAACTCCACGGCCTTCCATATGGCCTGGCCCGAGATCTCGCCCTGCTTCTCCTTCTTGGTCACCACAATCAAGTACATGCCTGTCGGTGGGGGGAGAAGGGCCGGTCTTTCATTCCAAATAATAAAACGGCTGAAGTGCCACTGATCCTTTTCTGTGCATTCTCAGTATTGATATGCGCCCAAATATGCAGACCGACCAATACGTAGTATTAAGGTGGTGGTGCTGCTCGGGTTTATAGCGCTATGATGCTTATTTACAAAGGAAATCCTCACCGAGTGTCAAGGCTCTTTTTCAGGAGTGTACTGCCAAGTTTTTGCAGTGGGGGGGCGATTTTTTTCGTTTAATCTCAATTGAGTGACATACAGGTAATTTTACAGTATTGGGATGTTTGGACAATACTAGTTACATTGTACGTTCACGTTTAGCTAAGGCAGGAAACTGTAGAACTCTGAAGAAAACCACGCAGTACCAGGGGAGAACTTAGAGACTCCACACAGAAAGGTGACTGATTCTGGAATCAAACCCAGGAACTTCTTGGAGCTGGGTTTCTGCGAGGCACAAGTGTTACCACTGCGTCACTCTGCCACCATGCTGGTGGTACTATGTGAGAAGCGATATGGTGCCAAATTCACATTCCAGATATATCCCCATTTTGCCAACGGTGTCTTGTCTTGAGACATTGTGTCCATTCGGATCTCTCGCAGACAGGCATGATCCTTCACATTCGAGATCGGCCCACTAAAGCGAATATCACAGAGCTAGCTGTGAGATCCATTCATAAAGTGATCTCTGGTCCATGCAAAAGGAGGGGCAGCAATTCCATAGCAGCTCTGCCAATGAGAATAATATTTGTCTCATGACAGAGTTGTACTTTGTTCAATATTAAGCAAACGTAATAGGCTTTTTTGCGCAGTCATTAGCAACCAGGCTAAAACCATTAACTCACTGCACTTGAGAACCTGGTTTAATCATTGACGACTGAAACCTAGATTCAAACCCAGGATCTCAGCAGTACCATCTCAGTGCTTTGAGCTCTGAGCCACCCAGCCACATTGGGCCAGATTCACACTTTGGTGAAGTGGCCAAAACGCCTTTGGAGAATCGCCCCATTGTTGGCGAGGCGGACGTCATCACGTTGTCGCAATTAAGAGTGGCCAAGTCGGGAAATCGGGACATGTACTTCGACCACGATCTTCCAATAACATTATGGCATCATATCTATTTGGTGTTTGAACATCTTAACAGCTGTTTAAATTGAATCACAATCTTTATTTTACTGGAGGAATCCAAAGAGCTATAAATCTCTCTTTCACAGATGTCCATTAGCGGTGTGTCAGAATGTTACAACAACAATACAAAAACACCGTCAGAGGGCAAAGTTTAGGAAAGACAAACAAATAACTTTTAAAAATATACAAATAAAATTTTAAAAATCGTCTTACCAGGAAAAGCCCACTGAGTTATTCGCTGTTTTTTTCAAAAACGACCTGGCCACAAATGATAGCTCGATAGAAAGGGTAAAGCCTATTCTTATCTTTTCATCGTTTTGATACCCGAAAAAAGGTCCCGCAGATATATTCTGGCATTGTTTGCCAAATAAGTCATATTTAAAAGTACTTTTTAAATCCTTTATATTAAGTTCGCTTGCTTGCTTGCTTAGGACCATGCAAATCTTTCGGTCGTTTTTTTAACCCACTTCCCGTGATCCAATCGAGCTGACATATTGCACACAGACTCGTTGAGCGTGACAATGAATTTTCGTGAAAATTTTTTTCCAAAATTTTACACTGTTTAGGGAAATTTTTTTAAATATTTATTTACCAATTGGTTAATGCTGGCACACAATCATCTGACCCATAGGTGGCAGCCATCTCAAGCCAGAGGACGAGAGGACTCTAGGCGCCCCGATGCCACGCATATAAAGGATTTATAGTGAAATTTTTTTTAAAAACATGCTTTTATGAAATGTACCGTACTGGTAATGGCAGAACTTCACGACTCCAGGAAGTGGCCCCGAGGCTTGCGATAACGTAAGGGACCGTGGTGATTTACAGCCAACGTCAGTTGAGCGTGGACAATTAGACCCAAGCCGAAACATAACATATAAAAAAGATGGTTTAAAATTTTATTTTTTATTTTTAATGATAGAATATAGTATTGTCATCAGTAAGACGTAACTATACGAAATTTGCAGTCGATACCACATTGGGAAGTGGGTTAAAATTGAGTTACGAGATTTGAGGATACGACAACAACAACAGACAGAGCAAGTTAAATAAAACTGTGTAAAAAAGAGTTTTGCCTCTTCTCAAGGGAACAATTGTATTACCAAGTTATTTTTTTACCAGCCAAGGCCCACTGAGCTATATCTCTTTTTCAGAAGTGATCTATCACAAATGATAACTCAACAAAGTGGCTTATCATGTGGAAATTTATTGCAGCCAAATACTCTCTAAGCGCTTGTTTCTAAACGTGGAGGGAAAAACCGGAGGACGCGGAGAAATAACCATGCGACTATGGGGAGAGAGACACGCAAACTCCAAATATACAAACAACAGGGTCGGGATTGAACCCAAGGCCTCCTGTATATCAAGCGAGGTAGTTAACATCTCGCCACCGTGGAAGCGTTCGGGGCGAGGGAAGGGACTCCCTTCACCTGCCACGAGGCGAATGGTCCCGACGATGCAGCATATGTGCTGCGTGAGCGCCGACGGAGGAATGTCTTTCTGAACTGCGATGGGAAAAGGGAAGGAAGAGTTGCAAACGATGAAGGAGTAAGTAAAATACATGGCAAATCAGCAAAGACATTTCCAAACATACAGAGTGGGTCGAAATAACACACGTAAAAAAACACAATTGAACCTTATGGCGGTACCCCGAGGTACCATAGCACCCCGGCTCTCGCATAATGTCCGTGATACAGTAATTTTTAGTCTCTTGATGGTCGGTAATGCGGCAATCGACTCATCTCGACGAGCTGTACACCATGCACTATGGTGCATACGAGCGTTCAAGGATTCAGCGCAATCGTCCTCGCTGCGTTTCCACATCGCGGAGTAGCACTGATTTAGGATTGATTGGTAGCCCAGTCGCAGAGTTAAATACACCTCTGGAAAAAATATTTAATTGCCTCGGCCATTTTATATTACTTGATACCCCAGGGTACTGCCATAAGGATACATTTCTAAAAGGCCATGAAATCACCTAAAATAATGTAAACAATTATTATACTGTGTTGGTATAAATGTGCCGATTCAGAAAATGTATGGAATGAAATACAAGGCTAGTTAAAGTTAACGGCTTACATTTTAGAATGTCTTTGGACGATTTACATTTTGAGCAATTGGCATTCTTCAAGAAATATTGCTGTTTAAAGCGATGGAGTATAACAAAAAATATATACTGAAAAGCAGGTGTGGAGTTGGGTGGTGAGTTAATCATTACATCGTAACTATTTTGGAACTGACGTTTAGACCACAGCGAATCCCTTGACTGCAAGGGCAATGCGGCCAATAGAACACAGCTGACCGAAGGCCACACAAGACCCTCACACTGTCGTCACACGCAGTGAATGAGTCGCACGTGTACATCCTCTGTACAGTGTACCGACACAATGCATGACAAAACAAAAAATCCTCGCTTGCCCCCTCCCCCATTGACCACAAAGTGCTTGCCACAAATTAACCACAATCACCTCGCTAATCTCAAGGAGCATAAACCATCACGTGAACTCCGGTCACCCTAGCAGCGGCGGTTTTTGGCTAGCCATTGAACAAAAATCGTCACCTCATCACGCACTTTCAGATGCACTTCTGCGGCCTTCTGGAACACTCTTCCTTCTGATAATAAGAAGCCAAGGGAGCTATACACTTTTAAACCTAGATTTAACCTAATTTATTTCTAACTGATTTTTGTGTTGAGTTTGTTGTCCTTCCCCCTCACCTCCGATTAGCACGATTGGCTATGTAGGGTGCAAAAAAGGTTCAACAAACACGTAGAAAGCCAAACAGGAGTTGAGACGTTGCACGCACCCGTGAGACTGATATCTGTGGACACCCTGTCGATGGCGAGCACATCATGACTGCCTTCGTCGCACGCCTCCACGTAGAACTTGTCCGGAGTCGTGTGGCTGCACAAGGGAGGAGAGAGACCGGGGTCAGAAGAGCGAGCTCGTTCGAGTGTCGGGTGAACAGCAGAAAGACGACTCCTTCGTTAGTGTGTGTTTGTGACATTCACGACCGTGAAGACTGGTGGTAGTGAGAGGTGAGAATGAGTTCGCAAGCTACACCCCGACGCTCTAAACCAGGATGGGAGAACCTACCACACGCAGGCCGAATACAACCCACGGCTTCATTTCATACGACCCGTGGACACATGAGGCCTAGCACTTTAAAATGGCCTGCTCAGTCACTTGTGTTACTGCAAGGGTCTCTCTCGGAGTGACAGCTGTTAATGAGTTGTGTGTCAATGTGCAGCCCAACCAAAGGCACATGAATGTCCTATTTGGTCCTCGGTTACAAAAATATTCCCCATCTCTGCTGTGAACAAATTATGCTGAGGTTGGCTTGCCTAGTCACCTTTGTGTGGCAAGAGCTCAATGGCTGGATTGGGTTTTTTATGTCAGTCCAGCCCATTGCTACAACCATAACCTTAAACTCAGAACATCCTTCAGTTGCAGCAGACAGGAAGTTTACCTTCCTTACCCAGCAAGGCTCCAGGAACAAACACTGTGGACTAAGGGCAACGTGTTATGTAAATCTACGTGGCATTCCAAGGGGTGTTTGTGTGCGCGAGTGCTTATGTTAAGCTAAACACAAGAGTTGCGAGCAAGCTTTGTCATCATTCGGTGAAAGAGTTATCGCCTGAGGCTTGGGCTGGCCACATTGTCCACACTTAACCGTAAACAAACAAATTAAATGAGTGAACGAGCAGTTGTGCACATGCATACATCGATAACTCGCCCCATATGTCGATGGCACGGCCTTGTTAAAAGTCCACGTGATTCCCTGCTCAAAGGAGCATTGAGGCAGTGCTCATCTCCTGCTTACAGCTCCGAGCCAGTGGTGGAAATTCCACATCCATATGGCGGGTAAAATAAAACTATTTGACAACGTAGGCTGATATGAAAAATAAGAATATATTTTAGCCTTTCTGGCAATAAAAAGGTGTTAAGATGTTGAAACACCTAATAGGGACCTTTTCCAAATAATCAAGTCTCCATTAACCACACGTACTTGGAGCAAACATGCCAGAAAAGGTAAAACCTATTCGAAAATATTCATACTCTGATACTGGGAAAAAAAAGGTCCCATGATATAACACCGGCTGCCATCTCAGGTAATGGCCCATAAACTTATATGGAGGACGAGACAGGTAGACGTTCAACAAATCAAGGCCAAATAACACGTTGCTGTAGAGCCGAATGAACGGAGAGGGGTGGGGCTATCGGTCAGGCTTTTACATCGTGACAAGGGGACGGACGCAAGCTCTTACAGAAGACAGAAACGCTCCATCTCTGCGAGTGGCATCCCTTCGTCTCGCACACTGACAGCCACCGTCTCTTGCCCAAGATTTAAAACCCGACACGAGCCCCCAGCCAAATTAATAACAGTGTCGTTAATCCACGTAAGCATCACCGACTCTTACGGCCCTTATTTTAGGGGCTCTCACATTAAAACCCATGACAATGCGCATGTTGGATAAAGCCGTAGTACCTGGAGATACGAGGTAATAGCAGTCAAGCACCATTACTACTATTTTGATTTTACCAGGTAAGGCCCACCGATATATGTAACTCTTTTTCAGAAGCGACCTGGTCACAAATGACAGCTCAACTTAGTGGCTTATCCGGTGGAAAAATATTGCAGTCGAATGCTCTACACGCATGTTGATTTTAAGTGTGGGAGGAAAAACCAGAAGACGTGGAGAAAAATCCACGCGACCACGGGGAGAGAGAGAACACGCAAACTCCAAATATACAGCAGCAGGCGTCAGGGTCGGGATGTAACCCACGACCACCTATACACCAGGCGAGATATTTAACATCTCGCCAGCGTGGCGCACAGGCATTAAGCGGATTACATTTAAAAATAAATATCAGCACTCGTGACACGAGGGGATAAACCAAACCACGCAGAACGCGCCCGGATCTCGTCAGATACCGGGAGCGAAGCAGAACTTGAGCCTTTACTTGATACAGCTATCGTGCTGTGACGGTTCCACCTGAAGACGGAAGCTTGTGTTGCATCCGAAACGTCGTGATTTTTATTTTTATTTTATTTTACTTTTATTAATTTTAATTTTTTTGCCTACGTGACTTTACCGAAAAAACCTAAGAATATGAATCTTGAGCCTGTCTAGAGCAGGCGACTTGACCACCAAGCATCAACACAGGCGCCATCGCCGCCGCGTGCAGCAGAGGGCAGTGCAGCGAACTCCATTGCCGTTCTGCACCGATGTCTGCACCAACATTTAGTAGTAGACATGACCCCCCCCCCCCCACAAACACACAGGGTGGAGAGCCCTTCACGCTGCAGACGGACTGACAGCGGGCTGTGAGAACGCGTCCCAGGCACGGCTAACATCAGTGGCGAGCAACGCCTCAGCACCTGTCCTGTGCCTACCCGCCCCATTCACCGATCCGCAATGACCAACGTGGTGAAGTATGGTTAAATATCCCTCACGGCCCGCAAGGCGTTGGAAGGGGGTGGGGTGTAGGCCGTCATCGGCAGCGCCTTGACATGACGTGCTGTGCACGTACAACCCAATTACTCAACATTGGCACCTGGATATTCTAATTGCAAACGTTATCACGCAACTTGCAAGGGTACAATAACACTTAAATACGAATCGACAATGCGAAGGGCATGACATTCAAATACAAAGGGGGATAACTTAGAGACAAAGGGGGAATGCGGATTAGCTGTTTAACACCCGCATCGGCATCATTATTAGCAGCGGCACAAGGCCGCACGGCCGAGCCTCCGGTCTTGCCTAGCGGCCCGGCCGCGTCAGCGCGCGTCGAAGCCGGCAACATCGGCAGGCGAAACCGGGGGTGTTCTCGACTGTGGGTGTTGCCGTTAAAAAACAAAAACAACCCATCAAATGTCAGCGCCACAGAGGGAGGCAGGGTCAAATTCCGCGCAACCTCGACGGGTTTAAACCCGCGGCTCAACTTGGAGTGAGAAACGAGGGCGAGAGGGGAGAGAGAGAGACCCGGCAACTCACAGCTTGAGGGACTGGTAGGCGGCCATAGCTGTAGCGTCACCTTCCCGGCTCGCGCGCACGGAGTCGCATTTGGAATTCGCCCTCCGGGCTTCGTGCGCGCGCCGTCGAGATTGGGTGTGTGGGGGAGTGGGAGGCGTCGGTGTCGAGGCTCGACCAATCAACGACGGGCGAGCCTCGGGGGCGTTTGTTGAAGCGACTTCTCGGGAGGGGTGGGTGGGGCGCGCGCGAGCGCTCCTCTTCCGCATAGCCAGCGACACGTCGGGCCAACGTTGGGCCAACGTTTGGGCTGCGATGGAAACGTTGGTTCAACGTTGACCCAACGTTCGGACTACGTTGGAACCCCAACGTTGGGGCTGCGATGGAACCGTTGGGCCAACGTTGACCCAACGTTGGGGCTACGTTGAAACCGTTGGCCAATGTTGGTCAACGTTGTGCCTGCGATGGAACCGTTGGCCCAACGTTGGGTCCACGTTGAGCCAACGTTGGAACCGTTGGAGCAACGTTGGTCCATGCGCCAACGTTGACCCCTGCCCTCCCCATCACCTCTCATGGCACATAAAATCAAATCATCATCATGCACAACTGTGTTTGACAAAACTAAAATCAGGTCTAGATTTTAAATGTTCGTATCTGTGGTGATTATTAATAATTATGCATTACATTTATATCGCGCGTTTCATCAAGGATCTCAAAGCGCTGTACAGGACACAGCAGCAGCAGACACTCAGCATAAACACAATACTATAAATACATTTTAGGAATCATTTACGACATTAACTAAAAGTTTAATAAGCGGAAACGTATAAATAGGTTTAAAGGCACATTTAAAAATATCCACAGAGATCTGAGATCGCTTATGTCACGTGGAAGAGCGTTCCATAGCCTGGGGGCTACACGGGGAAAATCTCGGGTCACCCATAGACCGAAACGTTGACCTGGGAATAGAGAGAAGATCAGCATCCCCAGATCTTAAGGACCTTGATGGGACATATGGGGGTGCAGCAATGTCAATGATGTAGGCTGGGGCAGGATGGTTCACTGCTTTTTAAGTTAACAATAGGATTTGAAACAGTATTCTATGTGAGACTGGAAGTCAGTGCAGGGAGGCCAGAACGGGTGTAACATGATGTGAAGAAGGCGTTCTGGTTAACACCCGAGCAGCCGCATTCCGAACGTGCTGCAAATTGATCGCGTTGTGCTGTGTATGTGCGTCAATCTACGCCCTGGACCGCACTCTGCAATGAGGTATTCCCATATCGAGAGATCGATTAGCCAGGTGAAATATTTTCATAGACAAAAAAATCACCAGACATGATCTGTCCACTGCTGGATGAAGGCCTCCCCACGCCTTCACGATTCCTCACGGTCCCGTGATGCAACGATCCACGCTGCAAATAACATTCCCCTAACGGTTGTGATAGAGTATTTCAATAATATACACACATTAACTCCTCTAATCCGCCGCCCTATTACCCTCGACTCCTATTGCGCAGCGAATCGGCTTCCTGATACTCGCGATGTTCTCGCGGATAAGCGGAGTTAGGGGGGAAATTGGTCCTATTATTCGTGGGGTTACCTGCAAATAATTACCCCGCGGGTAAGAAGGGTAGAATCGTTCATCACCTCGCGGATTATAGGATTTTACCAAAGCCCAATACAATTAAACATCCACCAAGCACGGACCCAGAGGCTTCCGCATAATGAAATAAAGTGAAACAAAACTGTATACAAATTTGTTCCGGTGGTACACCACGGGTAGGGAAGTAGAGTAAAAAAATAGATTTTTATTTTACCAGGTAAGGCCCACTGAGCTATATAGCTCGTTTTTTTTATCAGCGACGAAGTGGCTGATCGTGTGGCAATTTAAAGCAGCCACATTCTCTAAACGCGTGTTGATTATAAATGTGGAGGGAAACCAGCTGATAACCCAGACACATATCCACGCAACCACGGGGAGAGAGGCATGCAAACCGAATGACCGGGCCGACATGTCGGGGATGAGAGGGTGGTGCTCGTGGTGATGAGAAATTAGTTTTATACGAAGGAGACGTCACAGCGATACACTCCGCTGCTCCTCACGCGGTTATCTGGTTTTGAAAACGAATTTCTTTATAACTGATTTTCGTGTTTCGTTTGTTGTCCTTCCCCAGCACCTCCGACGAGCACAGTTGGCTACGTACGGCGCGAAAGAAGTTTAACACACATACATACAAGAGGAGAGGAAGGAGTGACCAGAAGTGAGCGGCACGGAGGAGCGGCGTCTGTTCTCGCACTGGGCGGCGGGGAGGGGGATTCAGAGTGGGCGTGGCCACACAGAGGTCACGTGGTTTACGGGAGGCTTTAGCTGATGTAGATATGTTGATGTAAAATCTTGACATAAAGCTTTCGTGCCTGCAGGAATTCATATTCTTTGGGTCTTTCGGTGAAGTCACGTAGATAGGTTCAAAGAAAATTACAATAAATAACAAAAAAACTAGTTTTTTGTTATTTACAATTGTTTTTGTTAATTACAAAAAATAACAAAAAAATATTTGTCAGTTATTTTTTGTTATTTTCTTTGAACCTATCGACGTGGCTTTACCGAAAGACCCAAAGAATATATGCAGATGTGCTTTTGCGTAAAGCATCTATTTAATTGAAGGGACGTAAACGTTAAAAGGCAGGATTGGATGATTTCGCAAGCACGGATCTAATGTTCTCAATGTACCCAATAACGCGCGGGCACGTGGGCTCCACGTTCCAGAAGGCTCTGGAATCCACAGCTCTTTGCAAACCTTGCCGCTGGGTGCAGTCATCGTGTCCACGCCGTGCCGGTCATGCGGGAAGTTTGACAACACTTTCAGCACGCAGGTCAATCAGTTTCACATTGATTAAGGTGGGGAGGCATGGACAGGGGAGCGTAGCAGTACAGTACAACAATAGATTGTAGCTGCACTGCCCTCTGCTGCCTACAACATAGCCCCGCAGCCTCTGTTTTACGTATGGAGGTCGCCCATCCCAGCACTATCCAGAGTTAATTCTGTAGCGACTGGTCTATTCATTCAAATACATCGATTCTTGCGGACATGAACTGTACAACAACCCTCTTTGCCATTCCACTGCTGGATGAGGGCCTCCCCTCCCGCACACACCGTGCCGGTCATGAGTGATAGATACATAAGTAAATGCATGTCTGTGCTCTCAAGTTGACTGGGTGAAAAGTGGTGGTGGTGGTGGCGCTATGCCCTTGCTAAACCCTGACCAGCCGACTCATGTACTCGAATACTTTCATTGCGCTGTTGATGAGCGTTGAAGGCGGGGGACGCATAGGTGTAGACATCGAAGTACGGTACAACATTTATTTGTTTCTGCACTGCCCTGCCGCGTAATCTCGGCTACAAATGTCCTCCACCCGGAGCCCACCCCTCCTAGTCGATGATCCCCGGTTAGTCGATGGCCCATCGTGGTGGAACCCATGACCCCCGCTAGCAGCGACTACAGCGCGCAGGCAAGGGCGCCAGTGGCTTCTCCCAGAGCCATTGCTCAGCGAGAGGGGAGCTCACAAACCCCTCGGTCGCGCTCGCTGTTCCGCGCGGTAACCCCGCTCGCTTCCCTCGCCACGTGCCTATCCCCATCGCCCTCCACCCCCTGAGGGTGATACAATCAGCGGGCCTGGGGAGGTGTGGGGATGGGAGGGGATGAATTGGGGTGGCGGGGTGGGGGGTAGCGGAACAGGAATTTCTATACGGGGCCCCCTCGTGCCCCTAAAAGGCGAGGTCACACTGCCACCAAAATGACTGTGCGGGCCCCTTTTGCAAGGGGGGCTCTCGTGTTCCCCCTCCCCCTGCCCAACACACCTCGTCGCCCCCCCCCCCCAGCTCCCTATCACCACCGCTGTCCGTGCCCGACCTCCCTCCCAGTGAAAGTGGATATAAAGGCGCACGCGGTGCCAGGCCCGTGGCCAACTCTGAACCACGACCAGCGCCGGTAAGAGGGCTCCTTGAGGGGGGGTCGCCTGGGTCGAGGGGGTCTGCCCCGTGGTCTTGGGCGAGCCCCGAGATCTCAGTCGCAGCAGCGGCGACCCCGGGTGATGAGCGCGCGAGTGGCACGCGTCGTCCACGCGTGTGTACGTGCGAGGGCACGAGTCGACTGGGTTAACAATTGGTTTGTGGTGGTTGAATAAGTGTTGTTTGTTTGAGTTAAAGGAGTTTGGAGAGAGAAACAAAAATCGATCGGAAGGATACTTTTTTTTCATGATTTGTTTTCTTCGTACGATAAATGTTGCCCATTCAGGGGCGTGGTATTTGGCCTTACGGAGATCGCCGAGCAATGTGAATATCTGAAAGCCACGTGGTGGTGGAGGTGGCGGTGAGACTGCAATAGTGGTCCACTGATGGACGTGCCAACTGTGTCACAACGAACATTGCTGAAGCCAGAATTGAATAATGATGATGATGACGGTGAGACTTTAAGATTTGTGTAGGTCGGGTGTGGACTTTTGTAACAACAGCGAAGTGTAGTGGAGTCTATGACATTGGCCGTGATGACCTCTTTACCTTGGCATTTACTAAATACCAGGACAAATAATCACCAGTATATAGAATTTGTTTTTACAATTTATAAGCAAAAATTAGTTTGGAACAAAGTGGACGAGCACAGATTTTTTATATACTTTTTATATTCGTATAAAGTGGGGTTATTTATCGTAATTAATTCTCGAGGTACAGAGACAGTGTGTGTTTGCAATGTTTTTTTGGGTTGTTCAGCATGATGTCCGACGTTTCGCTCCACATTGCTGGAATCACTTTCACGATATTCTTCAGGTACGCTTTCGGTTCCTGAAAGACGCTCCCAGCACGTGGAGCTAAAACGTCGTACATGGGTGCTGAACAACACGCGGCACAACAGCACAGCAGCGAAAACCGGCACAGTAAGCAACCTTCACGCATCGATTTGTCATTGCAACTCAACTGGAAAACCAGGAATTGTTTCATAACAACCGCGTGCTTGGTGGTACATCTCGAGGAGGCACAGGACGAGTTCAGATTTTCCATACAATGATCCCCCGTATCGATTTAATAGACTGTTGGGGCAAGTGATGTTAGAGCGAGCAGCACCTATGAAGACCCGTACGGCACACAAGGGGGTGGGTGGTCAGCACCAGTGCCAATATTTACACACCGCACCAGGTACTCATTTGAGGCTGAGTCGACCTAGGAGAGGCCCAGGACCGGTTCAGATAATCGTCATTGATGTTGGTCATGAGAAGAAATCGAACTCGGGTCGTCAGTTTCACAGAGCAGTGCGCTAACCATTGTGCCACCGCTCTGCACTTATACACGCGGTCGTTCTTGGGATCGTCGCACCCTCAGCCCCCCCCCCCCCTGTGCTCCCCCAGGTGCCCCTGCCCTTCCCGTGTGCCCCCCAGGAATGGCAAACATGGAGAGCGAGTTTGGTGGGGCGGCCCATCTAGTTGCACAAGACGGAGGAGGAGCGGCTGGAGGAGCGGGCTCGCCCCTGCTGCTTGCAGCGCGTGGTCCTTTGTATTCCACGAGAAGATGGAGTTCGTCCAGGCGCGTCGTCCAGAGAAGCGAGGGCGGAAAGGTCAGGATGGGAGACCGAGCATTGATGACCAGGGTACGGTGCGGTTGATTTTGTTCCACCCAGCTCCACGTGGTTCCACTCTGGGTCTCAGTGGCTCCACGTGACTCTCCCTGACTGAATAAACGAAATAGGCGCCACCCAGTGCAGCAAAACGTTCGTCGTATTCGTGCATTTATTGGGTCAATGATGACACCACTCACTTCACGCGATTACTACACAATTCACTATTATTGGCCACATTCTAAAGCTGGAACCGCTAACGGGATGCCACCTCAGGTGGTACCGACAAGTGACACATCTGACCCTGTCTCATAGACGAAATACACCACGAACCCGGCGACCCGAGATCCACCACTTGGGTTGGCTCAGTTTTAACTCGACTTAGTCCTAATTGAGTACCTTTTGTGGCGTGTAAACATCGGCATTGGGGAGACAAAGGCGGCCGAGCGTGGTGTTGGCCACCCCACCAACTCGTGCACCGTTCTGACCTTCATAGGTGCTCGCTAACGGCACTTGCCCCAACAATGTCATGGATATAAGGGGGACCTTTGTCTTTGTGCGAGCGAGCGAGTGAGGGAGCATTGGTTGCTATCCTCCTCTGTCCTGTCGACAGTGGTGGCAGTGGTGAAGAACTCGGAGGTCAACCAGATGAACCCGCCCAACTTCGACAAGATCGGGGTCACGGCCATGCTGATCTCCCTCAATGAGTCGCCCGTGCTAGTCAACCTCAAAGAGCGATCCTCCGTCGTCGATGATCTACGGAGGGCATCGTGGCCTGCAGGTCTGTCAACATCACCACGACCATCACCTCCACCATCACCATCATCTTCATAATCAAGAGCAACACGTGCACCACCACCAGCATCGCCTCTACCGTCCATCAACATCACCACTAACACCACCACCATCACGTCGATCATCACCATCACCTCCACCATCATCTTCATAATCAAGAGCAACACGTGCACCACCACCATCACCTCTACCGTCCATCACCATCACCATGGACATCCCTATCACCACCACTGCCACTAGCACCAGCAGCAGTAAGACCATCAACACGGCTGTCGCCATCATCGTCGTGTGCATTACCAACGCAATTGCCAACATTGTTTCCACCCATTGTAATCGTCAGCTTCATCATCATACTACTGCTACTACAATCATCATCATACTCCTACAATCATCATCATACTGCAATCATCATCGTCTGTATCAATTCCACACCATTGAAATCACCTATGAAGGTTGGAACGGCACATGAGGGGGTGGGTGGCCAACAACACGCCCGGCCGCCTTTGTCTCCCCAGTGGCGATGTTTTGCACACACCGCACCAGGTACTCATTTGAGGCTGAGTCGACATAGGGGAGGCCCAGGACCGGTTCAGATAATCGTCACTGGTGTTAGCCGTGAGTGGGAATCGAACTCGTGTCGCCGGGTTTGTCGCATCGCGCGCTAACCGCTACACGACCGCTCCCCACGTACGTGAACACACACACACACACGTGTACAAATCTCCCGTAAACCACGTGACTTCTACGTGGTCACTCCCACTCTGAAGCCCTCCCCTCTCCCCACCCACTGTGAGAACAGACGCTGCTCCTCCGTGCAGCCTCTTCCCCCTCCCTCTCATCTCTCCTGACCCCCTGTGCTCCTTTCCTCTCATTTGCCATGAGCAGGAATGGAACTCGGGTCGCAGGGTTCGTGCCAAAGTCAGCTCATCGTGCATGACACGTACCAGGTACGTAAACGTAAACTAAAAACTAAACTAGTTTTTTTATTTTACCAGATAAGGCACCCTGAGCTATGTAGCTCTTTTTTGGAAGCGACCTGTCCACAAATGACAACTCAACGAAGTGGCTTATCACGTAGAAATGTATAGCAGCCAAATACTCTAAACGCACGTTTCTAAATGTGGAGGGGAAAACTGGAGGACCCGGAGAAAAATCCACGTGACCACGAGGAGAGAGAAAGAGACACCGCAAACTCCAAATATACAGCAGCAGGCGTCAGGGCCGGGATCGAACCCACGACCTCCTGTATACCAGGTGAGGAAGTTAACATCTCGTCACCACGGCACCCTAATTAGCGTACACCATCACAGGTACTTGTACATCAACAACCACCATTCGCCACTCAGTGGCGGTGACGTTACTACAACGCTTGTGCCAGGCTATGTGCACCGTGAGGCCAAGTGAAGTGTACACCGACATTTATTGGACGGTGACACGGCCCCAACACGCGCCGTACGATCCACTGCACGTTGTTCGCGAAGAGGGGGCCACTGTGCGCCGCCGTCAACATTCCAAAATGACAGCCCAACAAGTGACTGGATTGGGGGATCAGACAGAGCAGCAGCAGCAGGAGCAGGAATCATTGCCCCCTAGTGGAAAAATCACGGCCCAGAGTCACTCTTGCAAACGAGACCCATTCTGGTTCTCTCGTGCAGTGTGGTTCTCAACATTGTCTTGCCTGCTATGTGTGTACCCCCCTCCCCCACCACCTTGTTGAGTTTTGTTTCACACCTCGCCTGACCCAAACATGTTTCTGAGAAATGTCAATGTACGGATAATGATTAACAATATTTTAACCAATTGTTCATTTGACGAGGTAATCCCTAACTAGCTAAGTAACTGTGCTCGCTGCTTACTCTTGGAAACCGCCAACATTGTTGACGGTCAGTGACTTTATGAAGATCGTTCAAATCGTCCTAAGTTACCACGTGGATGTAAATGTTATCGTAGTTATTATTTTATATTTGGTAGATTCACACGCGATTATTCGCCAATGACTCTCAGGTACGATCAAATTTCACACATTCATCCATCGCCTCTCGTACCCCCAGGGGCTCCGCGTCACCCCGGGCTGAGAACACACCTGCATTCTTGCGTTCCCACCCGGTTACACAAAACAACCTCGAAATATTCGACATTTCCCTCCCTCCCTCCTCCAAACCGCCCTCGATCTCTCCCCCACGAGCCCTCAGCACCGCACGTCTCACGCCACCTGCCGGCCAAACACCGCGCAATGCGAGCTGGAGAGGTCTTCCTTGAGAGACTGAGGTGGCCTGATGCGGGGGGGGGGGGGTTGGTGGAGGGGGGGGGGACGAGAGGATTGGGGGGCGGGTTCCAGGTGGCGGACGGACGTGCTCCTCGCTCGTTTTATGTCTCGCACTCAGGAAGATAAGACGAGCAAGTAGTCGGTCCGTCCGTCACGCAACGCGCGCCACCTGTGGGGCCACGTGGCCACGGGGTCACAGGGCCCGTTCCTCATTCTCGCCTAGGCCACCAATCATACACCTGGCTCACCAATCACCAGTCACACCCGGCTCACCAATCACCAATCACACACCTGGCTCACCAATCACCAGTCACACACCTGGCTCACCAATCACCAGTCACACCCGGCTCACCAATCAGCAATCACACACCTGACTCACCAATCACCAAACAAACCCGGCTCACCAATCACCAATCATAGCTGGCTCACCAATCACCAAACAAACCCGGCTCACCAATCACCAATCACAGCTGGCTCACCAATCACACCCGGCTCACCAACCTCACCCATCTCTTAATTCTAGATTTGAAGCTTTCGTGACTGCAAGGATTCATACTCTTAGGTTTTTTCGGTAAAGTCACGTAGGTAAAAAATTAAAATTAATTGAAATTAATAAAAGTAAAATAAAATGAAATTAAAGTAAAATAAAATACTTTTGACTTTTATTAATTGTAATTAATTTTATTTTTTTACCTACGTGACTTTACCGAAAAAACCTAAGAATACTCACCCATCTCACCTGGGCAGGAGAAGCAGGTGAACGGCAAGCGGCCTCGCTCCCCTGCGGCATCTCCACCACTCCTCGTCAGCTCCTCCCGCCGCAGTCCATCCCAGTTGTTTCTGCTCTCCTGCCCGCACGGTTGGCTACGTACGGTGTGAAAAAAAGTCCAGCGTACATACAGCTGCTTCTCGGCTCACCCACTCTCCCTCCTTTGAAAATAATTTCTTGAAAACGGCGTTTTGTGTCTCGTTTGTTGTCTTTCCGCCGCACCTCTGATCAGCACGGTTGGCTACGTACGGTGCGAAAGTTCAACATCCATACATACTCCTCCTCCTCTCAGTCCCACACGCGCTTATCCAGCTCCTCTCAACCTCCTCTGCCACATGGAAGCTTCTCTCCTGCGATTCCATTCCCGCTCTCTACCCCTCGCTTCCCCCAGCTCCTCCCCCATGCTTCACATCCTCCATTCTGGTCTTCCTCCTCTCGAGGCCACAGTGCGGCTCGCCGGCTTCTCCACAAGTCCTTCTCCTCGCTGCCTCCATCACTCCAAACCACTCCGCCGCTGGTTTAATCCCCTGGCCGTTTGTAACATAGTGTTGATCCTCACGCCGCTGTTGCTGCTGACAATTATGCTGTTAATGCTCACGATGTTAATTCAGTCGCTGCTGCTGCTGCCAGCAGTAGTTTCTGCTACGAATATCGATGCTGTCATTGCTGCTGATGATAAAGGCGCTGTTGCTACCGATGTTGACACTGCTGTTGTGAACGATTACAATACCGCTGCCACTGCCGATGATGTTTCTTGCCCCGTGTCCTCCAGCAGAAGGGAGATGAGGGAATGAGGGAGGACGAGCCGTGATGGACGCACGCACCACCCCGACTGCGATTTGTGAGACTTTGCACGAGATTCAAGAATGCGGAAACACACCACTTGGCCCACGCTCCATCTGCTGCTGCAGTTTTTTTTCACACCACATTCACGCAGTTCAGCGTTCATATTTTCCTTCACGTCCAGGTTCACATTGACCCATTTCACTCTGACCGTCTAGGGTAGGGACGCGGGGTGTAGGCAGCACACGCCATGGGCAGGACACAGGAGGTCGTTGGTTCAATCCCGATCCCGACGTCTGAATATTTGGAGTTTGCATGTCTCTCTCCTCGTGGTCGCATGGATTTTTTTCCCCCAGTCCTCCGGTTCTTCCCTTCACATTTAGAAACATGCGTTTAGAGTATTTGGCTGCTATACATTTCCACATCAGCTACTTCGTTGAGAAATCATTTATGGCCAGGTCGCTCAGTGGGCCTTATAAGGTAACAACATTTTAGGCTAGCGACGGGTGTGGGGAACGTGCCCGCAGCATAGCAGGGAGGTTGGACAGGCACGACCGCCACCACGGAGATGGAGCGAAGGATCAGCTCACGCGGAGGGAGCGAGATGGACCATGGCATCGGGGGATGGTTAGGGAGTGCGGAGGCATTCATCCAGCAGTGGGTAGAACAAGCCTGATGGTGATGATGACGATGACGATGAGCAAAGCCCAACAGAGTTGGTGATAATCTGTACCCCACCAGGCAAACGAACATTTGTTCGGGTTAACAAAGCTAGCGGAGGACAAAGTTCGACTCAGACAACATGAATGAGTTAAATGTTTTATTTAGAAGAGTCGGGGTCACGTGACTGCCCGAGGCCATGTGCTCCACAGACCAATCGCGGCTCGTCGTAACGCAGAGCCCCGTCACGCGAGGCCACCGCCGCACCATGTCGCAGCGACGACCCTTCGTCAGTCCACTGCTGGATGCAGACCTGTCCACACCGCGGGGGTTGTGGGGATTGACGACGCTTCACCACGCTGGTCCCGGGGCAAGGCTGACGACGAAAGCTTACACAGTGGCTCACAGCAGTCGTGGTGGTGGTGGTGGAGGCAACGCAGCGACGACTACGTTTCCAATGTTGCTCGTGGCAATCGTGGTTGTTGCTGGCAACGTCGTTGCCCCGACGTTGCTCTCGTCGTGTCCCCGGCAGCCGTGGTGGTGTCACTGAAAGAGGCCTTGGTCCGGGTCCGGCTGATACCGCACCTCCTCCTCACAGGGGATGCCCCCCCCAGCGGCCTCGGCCCAGCAGCTGCGTGCGCACGTGAAGACGAGGACGGAGCCAAACTCCGGGACGGAGTCTGCTAGGCAACGCAGGGGGAGTGGGAGTTGAGCTTTAGCACCGGTGTGTGTGCGTGCGTGTGCGTGTCTCGGTGTGCGGAGCGGTGGTGGAGCGGTTAGCGCTCTGCGCTACGAACCCGGCGACACGGGTTCGGTTCCTGGTCACGGCCAAGACCAAATTACGATTATCTGTATCGGTTCTTGGCCTCTTCTAGGTCGACTAAGCCTCAAATGAGTACCTGGTGTGGTGTGTGTAAACATGGTCACTAGGCAGAGAAAGGCGGCCGGACATGGTGCTGGCCACCCACCTCGTGTGCCGTGCTGGCATTCATAAGTGCTCGCTAACAGCACTTGCCCAGCCACCGCATGCCCAAGCAGCTTCTGTTTGGCCAGATAGAAGGGGCTAAACAGGCACGACAAGGGCTAGAGGTGAGTGGACATGCCGATGGCCAGTACCAGCGGTGTCAAGACCGGCCTCTGTGGAGGAGGCTCGTGAAGGACGCTCCTGGGCAGTTACAGGCAGTCGCCCTCCAGCAACAGAGGGTGGAGGAGCAACGCTCACAACAACGAGCGGAGCGCCAGACAGAAAAAACGTAAGTTAGGACAGTGGTGAGCTGGTGGTGCATCTGCCAGTCAACCCATGACACCTGGGTCTGTCCTATGACCTGTCAACGCGGCCTCAAAGTGCACATAGCCTGGCACAAGCCACATGGTCACGTCACCGCCACTTAGCAGCAAAAGGCGGTTCTTGTTGATCACAAGTATGTCAGAGAGCAATGGAAATAAGCGGACTGAACACAAATGAGACAGAAATCAGAAATAAAAATCCCAATGCAGAGACCACAAGTGACGGATGTAATTATCGGGGCAGCACGGTTACAATGGACGTAGGAGGTAGGGAATGGCTGCCGAGAGATGTGAACATGGAGAGAGTGATTCGTGCACTGCTCTACAGACCCGATGACGACCCGGGTTCCATTCCCAGCCATGATAAATATCATTGTGTCCACACAGGCCGCCCCCCCCACCACCCTCACCTGTCCCCTCGGCCCCCCTGAGCTGCCACACGAGCGCGGGCATCAGCTGCATCTCGAAGACGCGGGGGGCACCGCAGAGCGGGCACGGCGTTGGGGGCGCGGTCAGGTGGGGGTCGGGGGCGCTCACGTACAGGGGCTCTCCCCCCCACGAATACCTGCGCACGTCGGGGGTGGGGAGTGGTGGGTAGGGGCGGGCGGCAGAGGACGACAAACGTGACTCGCTCGACTCGCACGACTCGCTCGCTCGCATAAACCCACGCTGCCAGCTGCTTGCCACCGCGCAGCCCCAAGACTAGAACCCCTGCTACTCCCAGGCAGTATCCCACCCAAGAACAAACCGGGCTCACCCCCTGCATGTGTGTATGCTGAACTTCTTTTGAACCGTACGTAATCAACCGTGCTAATCGGAGGTGCGGGGGATGGACAACTAACTATTGTCTAAGTGTGATGAGTCTATGGGTCTCTGTGCGAGTCTATGGGTCTCTGTGCGAGTCAATGGGTCTCTGTGTGAGTCTATGGGTCTCTGTGCAAGTCTATGGAACTCTATGTGAGTCTATTGGTCTCTGTGTGAGTCTATGGGTCTATGTGTGAGTCCATGGGTCTCTGTGTGAGTCTATGGGTCTCTGTGCGAGTCTATGGATATCTATTTGAGTCTATTGGTCTCGGTGTGAGTCTATGGGTCTATGTGTGAGTCCATGGGTCTCTGTATGATTCTACAGGTCTCCGTGTGAGTCTATGGGTTTTTGTATGAGTCGATGTTTGGATGTTGAACTACTTTTGAACCGTACGTAGCCACCCGTGCTAAATCGGACGTGCTTTGCTCTCGAGACCGCCGGCAAAATTGAACGCATTCCGGATGATTCGGTTCGAAGCAACAACAACGCAACGTTATTTAGAATTGTTCCTGGTGACATGTGGTCTTGCGGCTGCCCCCCCCTCCACCCCCCGCCTTCCCACCAGCCCCCCCTCGCCCCATCACCGTGGCGGCCGCTCACCTCAGCACCTGGCGAGGGCACCGTGCCGTCCGCTTCATGAATTTGAGGAAGAGGCGGTCGCCGTGGCGTGCGCACGCCGGCTCGTACTCCTCCCGCGCTCCACCAACCCCGCCGCTGCCGCCACCGCTGTCACTGCTGGGCGAGAGGTGATTTTTTTTCCGTGGTGAGGTCAAAACGACGCGTGTCTCCGTGTGCGTATCCGCGGGGGGAGCAGCGGTTTAGCGGTAAGCGCGCTTGCGCTACGAAACCCGGCGACCCGAGTTCGATTCCTCGCTCACGAACAACACCGGTGACGATTTTCTGAATAGATTCTGGGCCTCCCCGAGGTCGACTCAGCCTCAAATGAGTACCTGGTGCGATGTGTGAACATCGCTACTGGGGAGACAAAGGCGGCTGGGCGTGGTGCTGGCCACTCACTTCATTGGTGCTCGCTAACAGCAATTACCCCAATAGTCTGTTAAGGCTACATGGGGGATCTTTGTCTGTGTGCATGTGGTGCTCACTAGGCCACACGGGGGGGGGGGGGGTGGGGCTGGGGGCATATTTATCTTTGTGTGTGGTGCGCATATTGCGTTTATATTCCAATCACGCATGTGAGAGTCGATTATTGTTTTAATTCCTAAATGTGGTATGTAACAAATATTCCAGGGATATCTGCATGCACTTAAGATGCGCTACAATCGCCACAATGCAACTTTCTGATTTCTGTTGTAACTTCGTGATCCGACCATAAAGGACATCTGTGAAAAATTGCTTCATAGCTCATCAGATTCCTCCAGTCGAAATAAAGATTCTGAAGTATGGAATTGATTGTTGATCTGAATCACGACTTCGAATCGTGAGACAATTCATTGAATTGCGAGCGGAGCGAATCGTTACGAGGCCTAGCGCACACGGCCAGCAGTAGAACACAGGCCTCCGGATGTGTATTACCACCACTGTCCGCAGCCTCAGCACCGACAATCGTCTGCAACGTCGCAAAACACTCATTCACACTCGCCGCGTGAGCGTCAACAAGTGCTTCCTGGCTTCGGAAATCGACGCGGTAATCACCGGGACGGATGGACACCAACCGCTCTCTCACCGCCGTGAACCAGTCACCGGCATGTCACACCCAATGACGCTTCGGAGATCCACTCACCCTTGCCACGGCCGCTGCTGCGCCGCCACCAGCCCATCGGCGCTGCCCTCCCGGCGCTGGTACTCGGAGAGCAGCGCGCGAGCGTGCTGCGTGAGCTCGGCCTCCTCCCCCCCCTCCCCCTCCTCCTCCGCGCAGTCCTCCTCGCTCACCGCGTTCAGGAAGTACGCCAGCAGCCGAGGAGCTGGGTCGCCGCTTTCCTGCGGTCTTGGCATTGCCGCCGATGCCGCCACCGCTGCCGCCGCCGCCATTGCGCGCCCACCGCCCAGCGACAGCCCGTCCATACCGGAGCACAGCTCCATGGCGGGGTTCGGTGACGGCAACGGGTGGGGGAGCTGGGGAACGCGGGCCGTGGAGTCCGGCAGAGGGGCGGGTGGCGCGGGCGCGTCCCCTGCGTCCCCATCAACGTCATCACCCCAGTCGTCTGCCCCATCGCACCAGTCCTTGGTGGACATCAGAGGCTCCACCTGTGGAATGGTTGTGCGTGCGATGCTTAGACGGTGTACGCGTGCGTGGCGCAATGTAGCCCGCTTTCGCGATCCGCCGCTGGGTGACCGCCTCCACACACCGCGTCAGATCATAGAGGATGCTTGACCATGCTTCAACACGGTTGTTCAGTGTGGGTCGGGGTGGGGGGGAGGCGAGGGGTGGGACCAGGACCAGTTCAGATATTACTCGCCATTGGTGTTATCCGAGGTTGGGAATCAAACTCAGCTGGATATACTCGCAGCATAGTACACTAACCACTGCGCCACCAACACATACACGAGGATGTAGACATGAGCAGCCACTGCACATATATACAACATATAAACGCAAGCCAAATGTCGCAATAATGCACAACTCAAAATATTCATCAGCGTCATTGTCAAGAAAATTAATAAAAAACATAAATAGGCAACGTCTCATTCGTATGCACGTCTTTCCATGTAAAAATAGTAAGTATTTCCTACACCACACACCAGCCGCACAGCCTTCTGGGAGTGCACAATTTCAGTAGCGTTTCAAGACAAGCAAACTCTGGACTGGTTTTGGCACACACTGCCTCATCAGCAGTCAGGCAATAAGCAAGGAGCGTCAGACGAACAGAATGTTAAAGATACATTGAAGATTCTTATGGTTCACTTTGATTTCTGGAAACTCACACAGCCACGCTAAACCCCCTTTGGGATTCTGAGTTCAACGTTATTGCCTGGGACTCACAGAGTCTTTACGATTCTGACGTGACAATATCGTGGCCTGAAAGGCGGAGGGGGTTAGCAGCGCCGAGTGCGGTAAAGTTGCAGGAAAGCGACCCGTCGACATGAAATGAGTTCATCACGGCCAGCTACCTCAGGAACGTAACAAATGAGATGAGTTGACCACGCGCGTCTCACCTGCGGGGGTGTGGGCGCAGGGGCAGGCACCGCGCGCGCAGGCTCCAAGTACTGAGAACGTAACGCTCGCCAGCTGCAAACAGAACAGAGACACAGACACACAAAGACACAAAGAATCCCCTTGTAGCCTTACATGGGGCGATGGCCCTTCTACACGGAACACCCTGCATGGTGAAGGACCATTGTCCCAAACATCACCTGTTATATATTGTATGCCTTTTCAGGCTACTAAAACTATAATCAATTTTTATTTTACGAGGTAAGGCCCACTGAGATACATAGCTATTTTTCAGAAGCAACATGGTCACAAATTATAGCTCAATGAAACGGCTTATCGCGTGGAAATTTATAGCGGCCAAACACTCGAAACGCATGCCAATTCTAAATGTTAAGGAAGAAAACGGAGGACCCAGATAAAAATCCACAGCACCACAACGGAGTATATGCAAACTCCAAATATACAGCAGGCGTCAAGGTCGGGATCGAACCCATGACCTCCTGCATACCAGGCGATGGGAGTTAACATCTCTCCAGCGCAGCACCGTGGTGCTACTGACAAATGTGTTATTTGCGCTCGTGCACCACTGCTAACGCAACAGCATCACCTAATCATTTGTTCCGACATCACAAACTAAATCCACATTCTCGTCGTTGGTGGGGAGTCATAGTGCAAGACAGGCTGCCGGGCACCTTCGGGTCCGCGCAACTGACGCGGGAGCTGAGCAGCGGGCAGCCTCACCCTCGAGCGGACGTGGAGCACGTGGCGCGTGGGCACGCGAGGAGGTGCAGGGCGCGGTGGTACGGCGAGCCCTCCAGCGGGCAGTACAGCTGCGCCACCAGGGTCTGTGCGGAGCCGCATGCCCCGCACGCCGTGCGTCCCGCCAGTGGCACGCCGGGCACGCTGTCCTGCAGAGCGCGCAACCGAGGCGAGGGGTCCGGAATTATATATAAGGTCGAACTCTTTTATAAGGTCGCACTGATTATACACAAAGTGCTTGCCACAAATGAACCACAATCAATACCTTGCGGGTCTAGTCAAGGAGCATAAACCATCATGCGAACTCCGGTCATCCTCGCAGCGGCTTTTGGCTAACCACTGAACAAAGACGGTCACTGCATCACACAAGTACCCGGCCGTGTCGGCCATGTCTGGGGAAACCAAAGCTGCAGCGAGCTGGCGGAATCGTCACAATCCCGGCCAACACGTGACTATAATTACACTTCCCACCCAGGCCTTAGGCTCCAGGGCTGTGGGACCAGCACTCCACGTCACGTGTAAAAGCATTCGCTAAATAAATAACTGCATCGCTCGCTGTCAGATGCACTTCTGCGGCCGTCTGGAACACTCTTCCTTTCGATATTCGAAAAGCCAATGGAGCTTTGCACTTTTAAATCTAGATTGAAAACTAATTTTGTTTTGTTTTAGCCACCCGGCGCTCTGCTCGTTGTTGTTAGCGTCGCTCCTCCTCCGTATGGGCAGACAACCCCTTCGACAGGCGAGGAGTGGAGAGGCCTTCAACCAGCAGTCTATGGAGAAAGAGCCTGTAAATGGAGTCATAATTTATTATTTTGGGTCACGTCGCGCGAGTAAAATGCGTGTTGTACACCCTCCTTCACCTGGCACAGCCCATTAATTGACAATTGGTTACAGACGTTTCGTTGGTAGTTGCAATCAGCATCATCGGGTTTTTGGGTGATTTGTTTTCTGTACCTTGCAATCGTATCGTGTCTTTGTTGTGTTGTTGTAACGTTCTTAGCCCGTGCCCCGACTGGGACATCTGTGAAAAAGAGCTTTGTAGCTCATCGGATTCCTCCAGTATAAACATATATTCTGATTCTTATGTAAAGTGGTGTGACGTCACAAATGTGCGCCGACATGTAAGGAGCACGTGGTAGGAAATTATACCGAGAGGTTAATGTAGTCACATAAATGATCAAAGATTATGTTGGATTATATAAGTTTAACACGTAGGCTTTCGTGACCAAGGTATTGCGATTTCTTGTACCTAAAAACGGCAGGATGTACATGCATAATGTGCATGCGTAATGTATGTTGATTACCCTATGAATAACCCAACCTGTAATGGGTATCCATTGTAATTTATATTCACGCATTAACCCCCCTCTGGCACCTGATTGGCCCACAAGTGACAACATCACGTTTATCTCCTCTACTTAACAGGAGGAGGATTTCTCCACGAATCTGGTTGTCGCCTGATGATGCTGGTTGTAATTACTGGTGAAACGTCGTACTCGAATTGTAAATTTCGCAGTGGGTTTACTCTCCAACGCACCAGTGTGCTGAACTAGTAACTAATTGTCACGTTTTGCTTTGGTGACAAACCTTACTAATTGGTTGCCCTGGGTGGTGGCGGGATTAACGACACATTCATATTGACGCGATCTAACCAAAAACATTATGTTAGAAATGTTAATGTGTACCGTACATGCTTACGTGGAAGAGGGTGGACTACAGATATTTTACTTGTGCGAACCGACTCAAAAATAAATTATGCATCGCAATATTAGTCGGAAAGGCCGACACGTTTGGCCTAATAAGTACAATATGCATCACTTATAAACGAATGTATTGGCGTATAGATGTGCTGCGAAGGGCCATTGTCTGAAACGTCGCCAAAGCGTATTATTCGATCTTCCACGAAGCTCACGGTCCACCCTCAATCGCATCCGCACAAATCGTGGCAGCAGACGCGGAAACCGTGATGCACAAATGGGACATTAAACACTCTGCAGTGGTATAGTAGTGCGGCTGTGGTCGTCCAGAACAGGAGTCCGAAGCACAACGCGTAACAACGCAATGCCCCGATCCACAAATACAAAGAAGGAGACATCACAGCGACGACGACGATGATGATGATGCACTCACTACTCCGCTTGGCTCCTGACGCGGTGCCCTGCCGGCTCGACCACGTGAATGTGGAATTGTAAGTTGTTGCTCTGCATCCACATCAGCTGCCGTACGAAATGAGAAGTTTTATTGACCAACGTGTTGCTTTGTGTTGTTGTTATTGGTGGTGGTGGTGTTTGTGCATCACTGCCAACGAAGCAGCAGCAGCAGCAACACCAAAATTACGGTTTTACTGGTAGGAACCCACTGGTTCCACCAGCCCACAGGGGATTATTGTGTCCGTCCGTCGTGCAGGGAGGGGCTTGGTGGGGAGGGAGGGGCTGGGTGTGTGGGGAGGGGAGGGTGGGCTGGGTGGGGAGGGGAGGATGGGGAGGGGCTGGGTGGGGAGGGTGGGGCTGGGTGGGGAAGGTGGGGCTGGGTGGGCGGTGGGCGGGGTGGGGGGTGGGAGGGATGGGAGGGGTGGGGCTGGGTGGGGAGGGGTGGGGCTGGGTGGGGAGGGGCTGGTCACCCCGTGGTGCCCTTATAAAACTCAACGTTTAACCTACTCACGCCGGCTTGTGCCCGCCCTCACAGTCGGGCATATTTGCGGAATACACCACGCCGCCGTTGACCCTGCAGGCCGTTGACCGAGCAACCCAACGTTCCTACCAGCGCCCTCTGCAGGAATGTGTTTAAATCATCAACTTCTCAGGCGCCTCCGTTCCTTGCAATTCGAGCCCCGAGGCAGCAGGGGGCGCTGCGGGTTGCCGCGTGTGCGACTCGACGCATCGTGAACCAAACTTGAAACTTCATGCAAACGGTAACAGAATATATCGCCGGGCTCAGTTTCACGTGACGCCGTCGTACTGTGATGTAATAAATGTTAATAACGACGATGCCTTTAAGATTTCTTAATTTTTTTTAACACAAAAAAAACATGTAAAAATAATACCGAGCCAGGCAGGAGTCGAACCGACAATCTTCTGATCCGTAGTCAGACGCGTTATCCATTGCGCCACTGGCCCCGAGCCGCATGCCACGTCACTCAGAGGCCAACTTAACTCTCGCGCCAAGTCACCGCGTCCACAAAATAACATCTTACAATCGATCATATTCGAAGTGTTCATTTGACAACGAACAATTTAACTAAACTCGCACGACGCGCGCGTTCCCCGTGGTAACGCGGCAGCCTCTCGGCCTAGACCAGACCCTCCCCCTGCCTCCTGTCTCTCACTCCCCGTCGCCTCTACTCGCGAAATAACCCCACGCAGACATTAAATTAAACATTCACAAACACGACGATTACAAACTCTCCCTCACCGGCTCGCCGCCGATCTTGTTGCAGCTCCACGAGGTGGCCGAGCGAGGCGGCACGGGCCCGTCCAGGAGCCCGAGCAGAACGGGGGCCTCGCCTGGGCGAGCGGCCATGTGAGTTGGGGGGGCAGGAGGAGGCCCAAGGGCCCCCCTCTGATTACGGAGTTGCCTCTCTCTCTCTCTCACGCCTTGGTTTCTAAGTCGTCTCTCACGACGACGACGACGTTCCTCAGCAAGGCCTGCCGAGGTTGAGTCGAGATCACGGGGCCCACCACCACCAGCAGCAGCAGCACGAGCCCCCTCGCTTCCCGGCCACGTGTCTCGGCCTCGCCTCGCCTCCAGGGGCCACCGTCTCGCCCGCGAGCTGTCAACGTGCCGGCTCACGTGGGCATCGGGATATTTATTATACTCGAGAAATCCGATGAGCTATGAAGCTCTTCACACCAGGGGGTGTACCACCACCAGCACCACCCCTCCCTCGCTTCCCGGCCACGTGTCTCGGCCTCGCCTCTCCACCTGCCCCCCCGTGTCGGCCCTCGTGGGCATCAGAATATTTATTCTGCTGGAGAAATCCGATGACCTATAAAGCTCTTCACACCCGCCACACACGCACACACACGTGTCCGGTAGTTTCACAGATGGCTCACGCCTGCCTGTGTGGAGTTGACGAAAGCCGACTTCAATTTGCGTACTATTGAGGACCTCATCAGCGATTGAGATGGTCATGTACGCACGTACGTTGGACTTCATTGGCACCGTACAGGTCATGCTAGCAGGAATCTTAAAAAAAACAAATGTGTGTTCCCTATTGTTTTATTTCATTGACGTTTTATTTGACCAGGTAAGGCCCACTGAGCTGTGTAGCTCTTTTTCAGAAGCGGCCTGGCCACAAACGGCAGCTCAACGAAGTGGCTTACCATCATGGTGTGAACATTTAAAGCAGCCAAATACTCGAAACGCCTGACCTTGATTCTAAATGTGGAGAAAACTTCACACGACTACAGGGAGACACTCCAAATATACAGGCGTCAGGGTCTGGATCGAACGTCAACAAACTCTTGTATACCAGGCGAGGTAGTGAACATCTCGCCACGGTGGCTCTTGGTGGTGGTGGCGACTGTGATGTGTCCTGGTCGAGTCATGAGTAGGGGTGGACACCGAGGTTATGACGGGGAGGACTGCCTACGGGATCCCTCCTCGGCCCCTTGTGCCTCACGCCCATTCCACGCTCCACGGTCTTGATGTGCTCGCATTGATGGTGGTTCCCAAGTAGGCCTAGCGAGGTACCATTGATGGTGGTTCCCAAGTAGGCCTAGCGAGGTACCATTGCAAGCTGGGGTGCACATTTGGTCAGGAGATCAGGAAACCAACGTAGGTCGCCAACTTCCACCCATGACCCCTCATCTCACGGCTCCTCTCATGCCTGGTTGTAATTGTATTGATATTGACAACTTGATGCTGTTGTGGGTTGAGAGCCGATGAGGTATGCATCGACGATGACACTCATTGCTCAAGTTTGGCCAGAGACCAGGACTACATGTGCAGCGAATCATTTCAGAGACACTATTAGGAGGCAACAACGTTTATTCTACACTTTACACGACACTGTTACACACGGGACTAGTACGCCTGTCCCTCAATCTTGTTACCCACGGGACTATAATACACCGATCTCTTTCCTATACGGGATAACTACAATCGGGTCAGAGCAGCCACGATGTCGGAGACATAGCCGTAGCACCTCGGTTCCGCTTCACCCACGGACAGCCCCGATATGCGATCGGGGCTCCCCTTTTATCCCTCTCGGCGCGACCTGGCTCCACCCTCGGCCACGCCCCCCTTCTGGAACGTTCCCGAAGGTTCCCGACAACCTCTCACATGCTTCCTGCCCGGCTCCGACCTTAACCACGCCCCGCTCAGGGACTCTCCGTGTCCCCTCGGTCACCTGTTCCCCCTACCCCCCACCCCGGCCCATCACCCGGAGCCGGGTGACTCGTCCTCACATCCCCCCTCCGCCAGCAGCCCTCACCACGTCCCCTCGTGACCAATTATGCGGCAATTACTCGCTGCGCTTTCGGAGTTGCTGCTACAGTATTCACTATTCTGTCGGTAGTGCTCCTTTGCCTCTTTCTGCGAGCACCCGGTACCACGCCCCTAGTGACCCACTGTGGTACTGCACGGTGTGCTCACCTCTGCCCCCAAATTTTCTCGTTTCCTGCACTCAGCGCTACGCACCGTAGTGATCCATTTACATCACTACACATGGGTTCCCTTTTCCTACCCTGGCCTCTCCATCTCACGCTTGTGTCTCTCTTGGTTGATTATAGTTGAACTATTGGCCTGTGTCCTCATCGGCAGAATACATTTTTGAGAGTTGCCGGTTTGTGAGTTTTTTTTTATCTCGTTTTAATTCGAGGTCTCTTTATCTGTACTTCCTCTCTAGACCCCGCCCCTCCCTCTCTAGACCCCGCCCCTCCCTCTCTAGACCCCGCCCTCCCTCTCTAGACCCCGCCCTCCCTCTCTAGACCCCGCCCCTCCCTCTCTAGACCCCGCCCCTCCCTCTCTAGACCCCGCCCCTCCCTCTCTAGACCCCGCCCCTCCCTCTCTAGACCCCGCCCCTCCCTCTCTAGACCCCGCCCCTCCCTCTCTAGACCCCGCCCCTCCCTCTCTAGACCCCGCCCCTCCCTCTCTAGACCCCGCCCTCCCTCTAGACCCCGCCCCTTCCTCTCTAGACCCCGCCCCTTCCTCTCTAGACCCCGCCCCTCCCTCTCTAGACCCCGCCCCTCCCTCTCTAGACCCCGCCCCTCCCTCTCTAGACCACGCCCCTCCCTCTCTAGACCCCGCCCCTTCCTCCGGACATGGAGTTGGCCTCGTGTTTTTAAAGGCAGTGCCACTTGCCAACTTTGGACTGGAGGCGAGTGGATGTGAGTGATAGACAGCTCGAGTGGGATCAAATCAGAGAGACCCTACTCTGAAAAACGTTCGGGAAATCCAAGCAAATGAGGCACAGAAACATCGAATTGTCACGCAGGCGAGAGTGAGTCTACATTTGTGCAGCGGCAAGAGCAGGCCTTATAATAAATTAAATACTTATCTTGGATAATAGTTTCCTTCCTCAAAGGCTGCGTGTCGAGACACAACTTCCGGAGCTGACCCTTACATAAGACCTGGACCATTGGAAGCAACTGCTGGACCACTGCAGTAGTGAGGGCAGAGCGAGTTATTTAAAACAGGCAAACAACAAAAACAACACCATGAGAATCCTGTGCCACGTGTGTATGCTGGACTTCTTTCGCACCGTACGTAGCCAACCGTGCTATTTGGAGGCGCAGGGTAAGGGCAACAAACTAAACACAGAGCAATTCTAAAGAAATACGTTTTCAATCTAGATTTTAAAGTGCATAGCTCCAGTGGCTTCCTAATATCTCAGAGGGAAGAGTGTTCCAGAATCCAGACGGCCACAAAAGCGCATCCGAAAGCGCGGAAATACATCGACCGTCTTTGTTCGATGGCCAGCCAAAAGCACTGCTTCTGCGAGGATGACCGTAGTTTGCGTGATGTTTTAAGCCGCGTTTGTTGTGACCCAGTTCCTCGCACATTGCCCGCCTTCCCGGCTGCAGCAGAGCGCCCGGTTTGTCGGCGACCGAGCATGGGCGAGTTTTAAATATAGCTCGCGTCCGAGTTTAAAAACGTGTAAGACTTTAAATAAACTTCCCAGCCACTCCACATCGATGACCAACGAGCTTTGCTCTCAGATCTCATCTGCAAGAAATTGTCAACATTGTAACCATATGTGCCCGTCACTTGGTTAAATATTAATTACGTCATTCGTATTTCGGGGGTGGGATGTGACGGCCAAAAATAGCCCAATGATTCTGTAGTAGTTGGTTTATCCTGCACAGCATATTCTGCACTTTATCAAGTTTATACCCCGCCATGGAAATGTGGAATTGCCACACGAAGCCAAACGCTCATTACATGGAACTAGCAAAACTTCCTCATGTGGCGGGATGCTCCTGAAATTGAGTCTTGAGACTGAGGGAGGCCTTCCTGGGTAAATGGAAGGCTCATGATCCGCAATTGATTTTGGGTCAGAACGCGAAAGTAAAATGTGTCGTATACCCTCCCCCACCCGACACAGCCAATGAATGACGTCGCGTGAATAAACGTGCCAACGCATTGCTGCTACAACAGCACCACCTGGAGAGTGAACCACACACCACCGTGGGCGTCACGGTGGTGAGATGTTAACTACCTCGTCCGGTATACAGGTCGTGGGTTCGATCCAGACCATGACTCTTGCTGTATATTTGGAGTTTGCGTGTCTCTCTCCCCGTGGTCGTGTGACTTTTCCCTCCACATGTATAATCAATATGCTTATGGAGTATTTGGCTGCTTTTGTTTCCACGTGATAATCCACTTCGTTGAGCTATCATTTGTGGCCAGGTCGCTTCTGAAAAAGATCTACATAGCTCAATGGACCTTACCTGGTAAAATAAAAATCGTTTGGCAGTTTTAGTTGATTTCACAAATAGGGGCGCACGGACGTTTCCCTGGCAGCTACAACCAACATCATCAGCACTTGCCAGAATTTGACTTACGGGATCGACCCAAAAATAAATTAGGAATCATCATATGGGTCGCGAAAGCCCCGACACGTGTTACATTAAAGAGGCATTAATTTGGCTACCTTTGCAGTGGTGTCAATTTCTGCCTCTGGGTCTATGGGAAATTAATGCACTGAAGCCTGGGGAGTGGTTTATCCAGGTGCGATTTGCCATTCTCCGTCCCGTATTAAATCGGCAGCACAACGCAGAGGACGAGTCAACATACAACTTTATTAGAACACATTTCCAGTTAGTAACATTTTCTGTATTTGTTTAAAAAGGTCTACTTATTTGTATCGTTTCATATGAAAACTCCATTGTACAAAGGTCATGGCTGAAGTGTTTACAAAAGCGACTTTAATTCAAGGCCACGTGATCCACCGCTAAATAGCAATGCGTGATTTAGCAGTAGAGGGGGTGCGGTGCAGATACCCCTCTCCACCCGATTAATGTTTTATCTCGTGGAATAATGGACATAATTATACCTGTATGTACAGGACCTCTCATCCTTCTCTCTCTCTCACACACACAACGCAAACTGAAGAGGCCCGGGCGCCACGTGGCAAGTCTCCACGAACTCTCACGAGTACGAAACACAACCTCTCCCAGCACGTGGCGCGAAACGTCGGACGTCGCACCCCAACGACGCGCGGATACGACCCGCCCCCCCACGCCCCTCCCTCCCCCCAAAAAAACACATCAAAGAGCAGCCACCACAAGATACTGCGGCTGCAAGAACGACAGCAGCAGCAGTATCGATTTTGATCAAATAACGCCCACTTCCACCTTAGACTGCCAGAAGTAAAATCCAAACGCAGACAAAGATCCCCCGTATAGCCTTAACACTGCTGCTGGGGGAAGTGCTGTTAGCGAGCACCTATGAAGGCCGGCACGGCACGCGAGGTGGTGGGTGGCCAGCACCACGCCGGGCCGTCTCTGTCTCCCCAGTGGCGATGTTTACGCACCGCACCAGGTACTCAATTGAGGCCGAGTCGACCTAGGTGAGGCACAGGACCGGTTTCAGATAACCGTCACTGATGGTGTTGGCCGCGAGTGGGAATCGAACTCGGGTTGCCGGGTTCGTAGCGCAGGGTGCTAACCGCTGCACCACCGCTCCCCACAAGCACACACACACACTCGTGTGCACACACACACTCGTGTGCACACACACACACTCGTGTGCACACACACACTCACGCTCCCTGCAACTGTCAAATGGGCTTTAACCGGCGCAGGAGGTGCGCTCCCACATCCCTGAGCTCGCCGCGCGCGGCCGCTTGCACCGCGCCTCAAGTGGTCCGTACGAGTTCATTATTTGGAATCCACCCCCTCACAAGGATCACCTCATCACCCTCACTCAAGATCGATGGACCCTCGGGGTCCTCAGCGCGTGACATTCCGACTCCATCCTTCCCACCTCGTTCCCTGACAAACACACCGATGTTAAAAGCTGGGCCCCTTTCTCATCCCAGGTCAGGCCTCGTGACCCCAAGGGGTTTAGCGATCACCAACATTGTTGCACAAACGAAGCCCTTAACAGTTTCACGCCGCCGACTTGACGATCAGTACAAATCTGACACCCGAACCGTGAAGTTGGGGGGGGGGTGGGTCTTGGAGCCTGGATTTCGGCAGAACGGAGACAAATTAAACGCGTTATTGGGGCATTCTTACATCTTAGAATTCAAAAAATCTTAAAATTGTTCATTTGGCAACGTGAATATCATCGTGAGGCTTAACACAAAAAAAAAACCCAGAGGGCGGCGCTCGCAGTCCCCGCACCGCCAGGGAAACGCTGCTGACAATTCCGAGAGATGGGGCGAGCGGGGGAGGAGCAGGACGAGGTCGGGATGACCCCAGCCACGTGGGACCCTGACCCCCACACCACCCCTACCAACCCACCTCGCCCAAGCACCCCTCTCCAAGCTGCCCAAAGGCCCCTGGGCCAGCACACGCGGGCCGGGGCCACACAGCGCATGGTCAACGCGGGGAACCTAAAAGCAGCCAACATTTGAAACGGGACCGCATGCTGCAGTCGTCCAGACACGAGCGCTACCATTCAGCAGTGACCCGAATAAACTCGCCAACCAGGCACTGGTAGCACACGAGACAACCGTGTGCTAAACCCGACACCTAACCACAACCAGCTAGCCAACCCTACCGCCACCTTCGCCATTCACCACGCACACCCACTGCACCCCCCCCCCAACCATCGCTTACATTTTCATTCACTTCTTCAGTTGTTGGCAAGTTCGCATTGCCGCCGTGTGTCGAGCCACCACGTGGAGGCATCGGTTCGTCACCGTCAATGAGCGGGGCCCTGAACGGCTCTCAACGCCCGGAGGTTGGTGCTTGGCGGGGGCCGTGAGAGAAATGGCGACGGCCTTCTGGTGGGGGGGAGAGAAGGAGCCTTCAACCAGCAGCGGATCGAGCTCAGCCACTTCCCACGTCGTTAATCATCGGGGGGGGGGGATGAGGATTCAACCGCTGTTAGGGGAACACCCCCACCACCCCCCACCCCATCCCGCTATTCTCTCGCGTGTCCTTCCGCTCTCAAACCACGACGACAGCCAACGACGCGAGGCGGCCCGGCGTCGGAGCCCCTCGTCGTGGTCGACGAGTGATTGAAAGAAAAAGTCGACGGACTCTCGACCCCCCCACCCATCCCCGGGGCGGAGGTGGCGCGGCGGCAAGGGGAAGCGCCGCGTGGCAGAGCCAACGAGGCGCTCGCAGCAGCAGCAGCAGCAGGGGGCATGGGGGGAGCGCGCGGAGGGTCACCCTGAGAAGCCGCCTTCCCGGGCGCGGCGATACCCCGCCGGTCCCTCGGCGTGGTGGCGGCGACGCAACGTTATCTCTCCCGTGCGCGATGACAGATAAAGGTGAAGTATGGCGCACGCCCGCGACATCCGGATGCCATCCCCACCCCCCGCACCCAACCCACCTTCCCGACCCACGTGCAACCGCTACCCCACGTGGGGGGGGGGGGGGGGGTCGAAGGTTTCGGGCTTTAGGCAGAGGAGGGGAAGTCACCCAGGGACATTTTCGCCGGTGGGCCACCACCAACCCCCCCTTTGCACGGACATCGTTCGTGGAACACGAAACCCCTCCCCCCAACCCCCCACAATCGCATCCTCCTGCGTCCGTCGCTGCGGCCAAAGCCACTTTACAGACAAAAAAAAACTCCGGAAAGGGAGAGGGGAGAGCAGGGCGTGGGAGCGGTGGCGACGTGAGGGGAGGGGGGGTGATGGTGAGAGACGCGCGGAGTGTAAATGTCAGTCGCGACGCTGACGACGGAGAAGGTCCTCGTCCACCGCGCCTCGCGCTCGCGACAGCCGCCGTCGCGAAGGACGAACGTCAGCCCCCTTCACAGGCGACACCGGCCCCCCCATTCCCCCCCCCCCCCCGACGCTCCGCACGAATCGCTGCCTCCACCCGCCCAACCAGCGGTCGCTTGGCATCAACTCGCGCCAAGGGCCGCGATGAGGCCTGCATGCCGAGCATGGGACTCTCCGTTGGGGCTTCGCGGAACCATCCTTCGCCTAAGTAGCGAGGGATGGTACGATCCACAACAAACAATACAAAGAAGACAGACAAGATGGACGGACGGACAGACGGACACGCGGGTCGTACAAATCGTGAGCCAAAAACCATGGCCTCGAGTGACAAAAGTGGTTCTCCCGGGACATCGCCGAGAAGGGGGATGTGGAGTCTTCCCTGATGCCAAGGGACTGCTGTTGTTTTTAAATCGACAAGGGAGGCAATGGAGAGGTGTCACGTGTCCGCGGCCGCTCCCGCATAAAAACGCGACCGGATCGCGAGCTTCGCTCGGTTCATGTGGAACCGTAAGAACCGAGGTCACAGCGGGCGCGCAGGAATTTTGAGGCCAATCGTCGTTGGCAGGGCCTTGACCGAGAGCAAGTAGTACGCGGCCTGTGCATGACCGAGGCATGGGGTTTTGTGGAAGAGCGCGTCAATCGGTCGATCGGAAGTCGCCATCCCCAGTCACCCAATCGGCAGGGGGAGCAGCAGATGGTATTAATCCATATTTTGGGGAAATTTATAAAAAACAATGTTTTTATCAAACAGAAGTTGGCGCGCCAGTGGTTATCAGTGAATGCTGCCAGGAAACTACACAGTGAGAACATTGTACTCGGGGTGAGTGAGGCAATCACCCATTGGGGCTGTGACCACGCCAGGCCACTGCACACACGAGCGTTGTGCCAACGGCACCCTCGGGCCTCCCCTCTTCCTGACGCCCCGTTTCACGCCAGCTTCCTCTGCAGGAGCAGGGCCGCCAGTGGTCACCACGCTGGCCCACGTGCCCCCGGTGTCCACGGTGCCAGACGCCACCCCGGGCCCCTCCCCCACCAACCCTCCCCTCCCCTCGCGTAGGCCCGCCCCGGGTCTCTACGACGCAAGCGGGGGTCGCCTCGGAGGCCTCCGCTCGGCCCTAGGGGCCCGAGTGTCCGCTGGCGGTGGCCATGCCGGCGAGGCGCGTGAGCAGCTCGTGGAAGCCGTGCGCCTGCTGCAGCAGCTCGCCCACGCGGGCCTCCGTCTCGCGCCGCAGCGCCCACGCGCCGGCCCCCGCCGCCGTCGGGTAGCGCAGGGCGGCCGCCTTGCTGGAGGCTGCGACGGCGCGAAGCCGCTCGCTCACGGCCTCGGCCAGGGCCGCCGTGGCAGCGCGGAGCTCGGCGGAAAGGGCGCCGCGCGCCAGCGCGTCGGCCAGGAAGGCCAGCCGGTGGCCTCCGAGGACGACGGCGCGGCCGTGGGCGAGCAGCTGCCGCGGCGTCAGCGCCCCGGGCTCGGGCCCGTCCGCCGGGTCGTCGTCGCCGCCGCCGCCGCGTAGCCGGGAGGCGAAGGACTCGGCGGCCGAGCGCAGGGCCCGCAGCGGGGCCTCGCCCTGCTCGGCGTAGAAGCGCAGCAGCTGGCGGTCGTGGGCGCACAGCGGCAGGCGGCACAGGGCCTCCAGGGGCCCGGCGCAGCCCGCGGCCGGCTGGGTCGGGCCGCCCTCGAAGCGGTACACCTGCACGGGGGGTGGGAGCGCGTGGGACGGCCGGTCAGAGGCAGCGGCAACAACAACAACAACAGCAGCGTGATCGTAATCATATTTTGATTGTTACTCGATTTTTGGGTCTGGCCAAATAAGTGCTCAAAGACCCCCTCCCCACCGCCGCCCTCCCCTGAACCTACCCGACGAAATGTTAACCCTTTCCCGTTACAAGACGTCTGCAGGGTGGGTGTCCCGTTCACCACTTAATCTCGGAACGCACAAACAGTTAGCATACATTTTATTTAGAGAGGCATAGCGCCGTTGTTTTTAAAGTTATTGTACTCACCGCAGACAACTGTAGCGACCCGACCGCACTCTAAAGAGTTAACTGCCCCGCCTGGTATACAACAAGCGGTTGTGGATTCGATCCCGACTCGGACGCCTGTATATTTGGAATTTGCGTGTTCTCCCCATGGTCACGTGGATTTTTTCTCCGGGTCTTCCGGTTTTTCTCTCCACATTTAGAAACATGCATTAAGAGTATCTGGCTGCTATAAATTTCCACATGATAAGCCAATTCGTTGGGCTCTCGATAGCAATAGCCAGGTCACGTCTCGATAGCTCAGTCGACCTTACCTGGTAAAATAAAAATAGTTAGACGCAGCCCAACAAAATTGTCACGTGGTACACGCGCGTTTAACGACGCGCTGGTCATCATTACCTCTTCTGATCAAGGTTTTCATGCCCAAAGTCAGAGTAAAAATCCAGCGTGCCGGAGAGTCCACAACATTTGGCCACGTGGTGTACGGAAGCCCCGAACCCCAAAATATCGATTCGGAATCATGTCGGCTGCGAAACCCCTTCGTGTGAGCGGAACAATACCGACAACGACAGCAGCAATGTAACTGTAATCAGATAGGAGCGGTGGGGTGGCCCGGACGCCGCTCACGCACTTCCGTCATGAACCGAGCCGATGATGAAAAAATAAATCATCAACAACGCACTGTGCACAGGTCGCCCGTAAGCTGCCCATTCATTCATACGGCTCAACCCGTCAACTCACCCTCCGCCACGCCCCCCCACCCCATTCTAAATCCTTAAGGGACATTAAACAATGTCGATGCAATAATTACACACGTGTTAGAAGAGTCGACAGATGCAAGGTCGCACCTTTACTCATTTCGTTTGGCGTTTAACATTCGTTTCAGATTGGTTTACAACAGTGACGGTGTCGTCCCCCGCTGCCCCCAACTTTAATCAAAGTCACGCTACACCACCGGTTCCACGACTATTTATAGGTTCATTCAGGAGGGGCAGTGGTGGATTGTTGCATGCCGAGAGATAAGCACGGTGGGGGGCGGGGAACGGAATAGGGGAAATGGTGGTTAGAAGCGTCGCACTCAAACCAACAGCGGGGTGGGTGGGTGGGTGGGTGGGGGGGTCATCGTTTTTAAAGACGTCAAAGATCGCCCCAATTCGTGCGTGACCCGAATTCGGGCGACCCAATGGAATTTTACAAAGACAAGTTCCGATAGCGAGCAGCGCGCCCCCGTAAGGCCACGAGGGGTGGCGGGCGACCAGCACCAAGCCCGGCCGCCTTTGTCTCCCCAGAGCCGTTGTTTCACGCACCGCGTAAGGTTCCCAATTAAGGCCGAGTCGACCTAGGGGAGGACTCAGGACCGGTTCAAATATTCGCCGGCGTTACCGGCCGTGGGCGGGATTCGAACTCGGGTCATCGGGTTCGTAGTTCGGCATGCTCCCCGCCACACTACCGCCCCCCTCTATTAAGCCACGCGACCTGCCGCACGCGTCAAACGAGCGGCGAGCGCTCACCTGAATCAACTCGATCTGATCTTTAATCGGTCCCATCCCGTTGCTCGTTTTCTCCGGCTCTGGGTCATCCTTTGCCTGGATGAGGAGGAAGGAGAGGTGGCGAGGGGTGGGAGGGGGGCAATGGTGGCACAGGCAATGACGCGAGGGTAGGTGGATCACTACACGCAACGTTTGTCAAACTTCCCTCCCGTTGAACGTCGAGGTGGGGGTGCCGTATCCTGGCTCGCCAGAAGGTCAATGCGGACTCCCACCGGTTCCATCTGTATGAGTGTTGACCCCCCTGGCATGTGTGGGTTTTCTCCAGGTCTCCTCTCACGCGTGCAAACGCTCGTTAACCCTTTCCCGTTCCGGGATGTCTGCACGTTGCGGGGTCTGGCTGTCCCCTGTTCACCTCCGAACCTCAGGAGCACGCAAGTGGCTCAGCGTTCATTTCATGTAGAGGAGGCGTAGCGCCGTTGTTTTTAAAAGACGTGGACCGAAACGCACCTCGCATTTTTTTTGGATTAAACTCGTGGGAAATTTCTTCTCGATTTACGCAATGTTTTTTTGTTTTAAGGTTGCCTCCCGCTCGTATAAGGGATACCTGTGCACTGCATACGCAGTGTGTGTGTGTATTTGTTTATGTGCCAGTTATTCTCCACCGCGATGCAAGAAACGCATTGGAAATGGGAATTGTAAACTTCTTTTGTTGTTCAAACGCCCGTTTGAGTTTACGCTGGCGGCCACGTCGGCACCAATTGGCCTGACCAGCGAGTGCGGATCTGTCGACAATAGAATCGGCGCTCCCATAAATACATATTACGCGTGGGAAGCACGCCACCCAGGTCTGATGGACACGTTCACTATGCATGGCAACTGATGTTGGTTGCTAACGGCCGGCTGCTTCAGAGGGGAAATGCGTTCACACATTTGATTAATCGGCCGTGTCGGGTGGAGAGGGGTGTAAGACGCACGTTTCAGTTTGCGATCTGGCCCAGAAATCACTTCGGAATAAAAAAAAAATTGGCAAGCGCGGTTATACTCCCCAGCCCGAATAAATGAAGCTAAACTATTTTTTATTTTACCAGGTAAGGCCCACTGAGTTATATAGCTCTTTTATTAGATGAGACCTGGCCACAAATGATGGCTTAACGAAGGGGCTTATCACGTGGAACTTTATCGCAACCAAATATCCTCAAAACATGTTTTTTAACGTGGAGAAAAAAAGTAGAGGACCCGGAGAAAAATACACGTGACCACGGGGAGAGAAACACGCAAACTCCAGGCGAAAAAGTTAACATCTCGCTACCGTGGCGCCCCTAATAATAATTCACCCATGGGACACCGCGAGCCCACGGCGTTCACCTGCAGGTGGACGTAGTCGTACTCGTCCGAGCCGGGGTCACACGACCCGTCCGCCGAGTCGTCCCCGTCGCCGCACGACACGGCGGGGAAAGGTGGCGGCGACGGCAGCGGCCGCGCCTGGATGCCCCCCGGCCGGTCCGCGCCGCCCGCCGGCAACCTCCTGGGTCCGCCGTCGCCGTAGCCGACCCCGTTGTGGCCGACGACGCCGCCGTGGGAGAGGCCGTTCCCGAGCGGCACGGGGCCCCCGCGCTGCGGGCCCGCTGGCCCGTTTGACGATCCGTGCGCGCCCCCGACGTACGCCACGGGTGCCGCTCGCTGCTGCTGCTGCTGCCGGGAGCCGGAATGCGGCGACGCGACGTCTTTGGAGGCTCTCGCCGTCGACGCGCCGTCGACGCACGCAGAGGAGGAGGACGTGCCGCCGCCCCGCCCGACGCTCGCCTCGACGGCGGCGGCCACCTGGTGCCCGACTCCCGGCGCCATCGACCGCGGCTCAGCGCAAGCGGCGTCGCGCGAGGCCGCCGGAGGGACGTCGTACTCGCAGTCCCGCGACGACGCCGCCTCCGACCTCGCCTTGCGCACGGAGGCGTACACCTCCCTGGGGACGTCGTAAATGTCCTGCGAGGCCGGCGAGGCCGATGAGGCCAACGGGCCCTCCGCCGAGGCCTCCGCCGCCCGCGAGTCCGGCGCGGCGGCCCTCCCGCCGTGCGGGACCGGCGGCTCCGAGCTCCCCGCACGGGCGGAACCGGCCGACGCCGGCACCGCGGGCTTGGGGCAGTCGTAGACGTCTTCTTCGGCGTCGTCCGCCGCCGCCGGCGCCGCCACGGCCGGCGCTTCGCGCGGCTCGGACCTGGGCGCCTGCAGGCCCGGCGGGATGTCGTATATCTCCTGGCCGGGGGGGGGCGGCGCGGCGCTGGTGCCCGCGTAGGGGAAGACGGGCCCCGGCGGCCTCTCGGGCGCCGGGGTCTCGCCCCGCGCGCCCCTGGCGAGCGCCGGGACGTCGTACACCTCGTCGTCCGAGGAGCGCCGCGACTCGGCGGCGTGAGCGTGGTTGCCGTTCCTCGTCGGCTGATGCCGCAGCTGCTGCTGCTGCTGCTGGCGCGGGTAGCCGTTGGATGCTGCTGCCTGACGCTGTCCGTCGGCACCGGAGGTCGCCTGCTGCACGCTGCGGCCCCCGAAGGCCGGAGGGACATCGTAGGTCTCATCCACGGAGGCCATCGTCTCCATCTGAGACAGGGCGAGGCGGGAAGATTAAACAAAAAATTTAACTAACACTATTTTTATTTGACCAGGTAAGGCCCACCGAGCTATGTAGCTCTTTATTCAGAAGCGACCTGGCCACAAATGATAGCTCAACGAAGCGGCTTATCGTGTGGAAATTTATAGAAGCCAACCAATATTGATTCTGAATGTAGGGGGGAAAACCGGAGGACACTGAGATGAGACGCGAAGCCTTGGCCGCGTGTCCTTGGAGGTTACGGCATCATTGAAGACAAATCGACGCTTTCACCGCACGCCACTGATTTCACGACACTGTGTGCCCATGCTGTGCGTGATCACGCAAGACGTCACCTGATGATGATGATGCTGCTGCTGCTGCTGATGATGATGCTGCTGCTGCTGGTGCTGCTGAGCCACGGAGGGCACGGGGGGCACCATGCGGCCCAGCGACGCCGGCGTGTCGTACACGTCCTGGCCGCCGCCACAGCCGCCCCCCCTCCCACTCGCGGGCAGCACGTCGTACACCTGGGCCCGAGGGGCAGGCAGGCGCGGTCAGAGGAGGAGGGCCTTCAGGCGCGGCGGCTCTCACCTTGTAGCTGTAGCTACGCGTCCCGCCTCCCGTCTCCACCGAGGTCGTGGGACGCCAGGGTTTTTCTGAAGCTCCGTTAGCGCCGAGGAAGGACAACCGCCCCGCCCCCCCCCCCCCCACCACTGGCGCGCGCGATCGTCCGTGGGTGTTTAACGGCGGTGGCCGGGGCCTAAACGGCGAAGAGCGTTCGCTCCGCTCATCGTCGTTTTTAGAGGGTTCGCAGTTATGGAAAAAAAATTACCAGCGGCCCGGCGCGCGCGTCAATCGAAATGGCAGCCGCGCGAGGCCGCCTGCTTGGCCCGCGGTGGACGGTGCAGATGCCATGACGCCGTTCACCACGGGAGGCGCCCGTCGTGCGGCGCCGGCGTCACCATGCAAGTGTCAGCTGATGTTACAGGCGGCCGACAACCGCTGATCCTTTTACCGGCAATTTTTTTTTTACCGCAAATCCCCCTGGTATAGCATCACAACTAAAAATTGTAATTTACATCGGATCGTCTTCGCGAGAGCTCGTGCACTCACGCGCTCGACCTCGGTTGGAAAGCGTTCGTAATTAAGTGCTCTTGTGGTGTCACCGGGAGCGACGATCCTTGAGGAGTCACGGTGGTAGCGGTGCGAGGGCCGGGCACGTTTAGACACAACGTCCACACAGACAAAGATCCCCCGTTTATCCTTAACAGGCTGTTGGGACAAGTGCTGTTACCAAGTAGTGCCAATGAAGGTCGGCACTTTGGCACACGAGGGGGTGGGTGGCCAGCAATGTTTACACATTGCACCAGGTACTCATTTGAGGCTGAGTCGACCTAGGGGAGGCCCAGGACCGGTTCAGATAATCGTCACTGGTGTTGGCCGTGAACGGAAATCGAACTCGGGATGCCAGATTCATAGCTCAGCGCGCTAACCGCTACACTATCGCACACGCATGCACACGCACGCACACACACATACGAGCGCACACACACATGCGCACACACACACACGCACACGTGCACACGCACGCACACACATACATTAACACGCACACACACACGCACACACACACTGTTGGCGGGCTTGGGCACCCTGTGTTCCCCCCCCCCCTCACCTGAAGTTCCTGTTCCCCGCCGGCCCCTGATGCCAGTAGATGAAGGCCGTGCTGCTGCTGCTGCTGGTTGTGGTTGCTGTAGTGGTGGAGGAGGTGGTGGTGCAGGGGGGCCTGGCCCGTCCGGGTGTTGGGCCGTGGGGGGGTGGCGCACCCCAGTGAGGGGGGCACGTCGTAGACATCGTCAGAGGACACGCGAGGAGATGCCTGATTGGGGGATGGGGGGGGGGGTAATGGGCGGAGGGGGAGGAGGGGTCACAGGGAGGGAGAGGGGGACGATGAGATCACTGCAAGCGGTGGTACCGCCCCCCGATACCGTGGCGGCGCTGCCGTACGGCGCTCTGTCTTTGGCTCGTGCGGCACGGTGTCCGACGTTTCGCTCCGCACGCCGGGGAGCCTGGCGCTGGAACTTCTTCAGCGCGCGGGGCGAAACGACGGACAGACATCATGGGGAAGAACACGTGGGACGACCCGAACAACAACAATAATAATCATCACGTCAACTCGTAACGCTGCGTCGCCACCGATGCACGGTACCCGCTCATCGCTCTTGTAAAGAGGGGATGACTCCAGAGACAGAGAGAGAGAGGGGGACAAGCCAGAGGCACAAGGAGGAGGATGAACCACAGACGAGCGGGAAGGCAGCAGCGGCAGCGGCGGCAGCAGCAGCGGCCACACGTCGGCGAGGAGCCGGCTCTGGCTATTGCCCAAGCTCTGCGGTCCACTACATATGAAGAAGTCTTCGGCCAATTAATGTGCGTTGATACACAAGTGGGAGGAAACCGGAGCACCCGGAGAAAACGCACCACGCGTGCGAGGGGGAAACACTATCCCCGTACACACAGGTGGGGGTCCCCATTTTCTGCAGCGTAAGTTTTAGGGAGAGGTTATGGAGGGAGGGGGGAGTTCCAGTATTCGGATTAGTGGGGTGGTACATTATTTGATTACGTGGTGACGCTGCTGCAGTCGCAGCGGTTCTCCCGCGTCGCACGACTCAACACATTCGTCAAACAACACCGCACACGTGATGGACAACGTTTCGGGCAATGGCCCTTCCTCGTAGCGCATGGAATCACGGAAGTGTTTCTGTGTTATGCGTTGGGAGTGTACTGTTGGCAGAGTAGGGAGCACAGCTGAGGAGTGAGCCCACGTCCCACCCCCCACCCACCCCACTTCGTGTGTTTGTATCTCTCCTCGTTCGATTCCCGCACAGTCAACAGCGGTGACGATTATCTGAACCGCTCCTGGGCCTCCCCTAGGTCGACTCCGCCTCAAATCAGTACCCGGTGCGGTGTGTAAACATCGTCACTGGAGAGACAAAGGTGGCCGGGCGTGGCGTTGGCCACCCACCCCCTCGTGTGCCGTGCCGGCCTTCATAGGTGCTCGCTAACAGCACTTGCCCAAACAGTCTGTGAAGGCTACAAAGGGGATCTTTGTCTTTGTTCCACATTCCCCATGAGAGACGGGGACAGGGGGGGAGAGGCGGGAGAGGAGGGGGAGAGACGGGGGGGAGGGAGGGGGGAGAGAGGCAGGGATGAAGGGGGGGGGCAGGGATGGAGGGGTGGTAGAGAGACCGGGAGTGGTGGGGAGAGCGACAGCGAGAGAGGGGGGGTGACAGAACCAGTCTTCCCCGCTTCCCCGCGCCGTGCCCGGACTCGCGCGGCCTCGAGCGACGAACGTTGGAGAGCAGCAACCAGCAGCAGCGTACTACAAAGATAAAGATCCACCCCCTCCCAGTATAGCCGCCCAGGCCATTGGGGAAAGTGCTGTGAGCGAGGAACGGATGTGAAGGCCGAGTGGACCGAGGCGACGCCCAGAGTGAGCTCAGATGCTCAGATCAGAATATTGATTCATACCGGAGGAATCCGATGAGCCATCACTCGCCATTGATGTTCGCCGTGGAAGGGATCACGTGAACGGCTGCAGCATGAGGCCGTGAAAGTGCACTCACAGATACACGACACACACTCACAGATACACGACACACACTCTCACAGATACACACCAATACCAACACCCGGAATTCGCCACGAAGTGACGGTGACGTCATGTCAAAGTGTCAAAGGCTCGCTGACAGGAGGAGGTCATGGGACAGACCCTGCAAGTGCCATGGGTCGACTGGCTGAGATGACTGGCTGATGCACCAGCTGTGCCCCCTACTATGCCAACAAAAACAAAGATAAAGATTCCCCCATATAGCCTTAACACTGTTGGGACAAGTGCTGTTAGCGAGCACCTATGAAGGCCGGCACGGCACACAAGTGGGTGGATGGCCAGCACCACGCCCGACCGCCTTTGTCTCCCCAGTGGCGATGTTTACACATCGCACCAGGTACTCATTTGAGGCTGAGTCGACCTAGGGGAGGCCCAGGACCGGTTCAGATAATTCTGAACGGTGTTGGCCGTAAGCAGGAATCGAACGCGGGTCGCCGGGTTCATAACGTATCGCGCTAACCGCTACACTACCACTCATAAACGCACACACACACACGCGCTTATTTTCGGTGGCGTAGTGATTAGAGCACTACACTCTGAGATGTTAACCGGTCCACGGTTAACGTCACAGTGGCAACATGACAGCCAAGCGCTGGCACTGCCGACCTCACCAACCCACACTGACCAGAGTGGTGAAGTATGGTCACCACTCCCCACACGATTTCAACAGTACGTACACGCGCATGTGCACACACGCGCGCCCACCTTCACATGCAGACACACACACACAGATGCACATAAAGCCACGAAGAAAAACGCACGCGGATACGTCAACACACTGCTTCAAACACACTCTCACCTCCACACACAAGATAAAGGCGCACATTCCGCACCTCCGCTTTGTGTGCGGTTGGCTGTGTACGGTGCTAAGGACGTCCGACGTACACACGCGCCATGATACACACGCACGCGTGCAATCTCACACACGCACGCGTGCAATCTCACACACACACGCGTGCAATCTCACGCACACAAAACAAAGATCCCCCCCTGTGTTGCCTTGAGACTTTTGGGGCAAGCGCCGTTAGCGAGTAGCACCTATGAAGGCTGCCACCGCACACGAGGGGGTGGGTGACCAGCAGCACCGCGCCTGATGTGTTTACACGTCTCGCCAGGTGCAACTTGAGGCTGAGTCAACCTAGGGGAGGCCCAGGACCGGCTCAGATAATCATCACTGGTGTCGGCCGTGAGCGGGAATAGAACTCGGGTCGCCGGGCTCGTAGCGCAGCGCAGCTAACCACTACACCACCGCTCCCCCCACACCCCCCCACATAACCAAAATATATAAACACACATACACACATATATATATACACGCAAAGACGCGCCACACACGCGCACATTCTGGCGGATTTACCTCATCACTCACCTTCCCCCGGTGATGCAGCCGAGGCTGGAATGTAACGGCCTCTGCCAATTTGGCTTCAGCTGCAGCGTTCGGGGTTCCATTTCCAGACTCAGAGGAGGGGACCGACGGGGCTTGGTGGGTGGGTGGGTGGGTGGGGTGGGTGGGGTGGTGGGTGGGGTGGGGGGTGGGTGGGGTGGTGGGTGGGGTGGGTGGGGTGGGTGGGGTGGTGGGTGGGTGGGTGGGGTGGGGGTGGGTGGGGTGGGTGGGTGTTAGGGGTAGGTGAGGTGGGGTGGGTGGGTTAGTGGCTTGGTGGGTGGGGTGGGGGGCTCCGTGTGGCTGGGTAGTTGTTTTTGGTGAGCTGGGTTGGTGGTGGTAGTGGGTGGGAGGGAGGGAGGGGGGGGTTGGTGGTTGTGGTGGGGGGGGGCTAATTCCCCAATTAAAATGTTCACCACCGAATTCGCGAGACTCCTCCGGTTGCGTCACCGTCGTTCCGTTTTGGGGGGGGGGGGGGGGGGAGGTGAGGATCTCTTCGAGTTTCCGTCTCGCTGTTTGGGTGGAGCAAGTGGGGAGCGAAGGAGGAGGCCTCGCGGAGGCCTCGAGTTGGATTCATGAAGCCGCTGGTTCTCAACCTCGTCTTGGCTAGTGTTTGTGTGTACCCCCCCCCCCCCCCACGTTGTTGAATTGTGTTTCAGCACCGAGCACACTCCCCCATCCCTTGCCTGACCCCTGAGAAATAAATGTACAGATAATGGACAACAATGTTTTAATCAATCGTCCATTTTGTAAGGTAATCCTTGTGCCATGCGAGGTGACTGCGAGCGACTCTGAAATAAAAAATCACGCGACGCTCTGCTCGCGTCTCGCGATTTGTTCGCGCTCGCTGCTTACTCTTGGAAACCGCCAACATTGTTGACGGTCAGCGAGTTTATGAAGGTCGTTCAAATCGTTCTCGGTTACCACGTGGATTTAAATCTCATCGCGGTTATTTTATACGGACAGATCCACGTACGTGATTATTCACCCAATGACTCACCCCAGTATGATGTAATTTCACGGTTTCATAAATCACTCCACGTACCGCCCCCCCCCCCCCCCCCCCCCCCGGTTCAAGCCGCTGCTGTGTTGGCTCCCAGGAGGCCCCCAGTGACTTCAGTGCCTCTGTGTGGATGTGTGCTCGAGGATGGGCGGCTGGAGATAAGACAAGGATGGAACACAGCCCCCCCCCCCCCCCCCCCCCCTTAGAACTGCGATGCTTTCTAAAGTTACCACGGATCAATAAAGGGGGCAAGTGAACGATTACGTCACCCGGCAGAGCGCGCCACAGTGGGCCAGCGTTGAGGCCACGGTTTACTGTCCGGCCATTTCGAAACGTCGATCCAACGTCGGCACGTGGTGGGAACCGTCGGGCCAACGTCGAGGCAACGTCGAGGCAACGTCGAGGCAACGTCGAGGCAACGTCGAGGCAACGTCGAGGCAACGTCGAGGCAACGTCGAGGCAACGTCGAGGCAACGTCGAGGCAACGTCGGCCGAACGGTTCCAAACACGTGGCAACGGTGGATCGACGTTGGGCCTCAACGTTGATCCGTCCAAACGTCGAGGCAATGTTTTACGGAAGACGGGACCATAATTACCACCAGCCATCGGCCTGGATCCTCGTAGACAGAACCACTCAGAGCCCCGCGCGCGAACACAAAGGGACCTGCGCCGCTGTTATTTTGGGGCCGCACCACGAACGAAGAGACCCAGCAACTTCAATCTGCAGGGTAATCCATCCGCCTACAAGGCACCGTCCCGGGAAATCCACCAACGTTGCGCACTTGCCCCAAGAGTCTGTGAAAAGCTTCGTGGGGGGGGGGGGGGGGATCTTTGTCTTTGTGTTTTTAGCGGCTTGTCTCTCCGGTGTCCGCTTGCAAGCGAGACCGCCACGCTGCTCCAAGCAAGGTGGCAGCAGCACACTCGTGGGTTACTGTCTTGAGACTCGGTGAGGCTTCTTGGGCAAAGGAGAGGTCACCTTTATCACCACCCACGATGTCGAGATGTTAGCTACCTCGCCTGGTATGCAGGAGGTCGTGGGTTCAATTCCGACCCTGACACTTGTATATATTCGGCATTTACATGTTCACGCTCTCTCTCTCTCCCCGTGGTCGTGTGGAATTTTCTCCGGGTCCTCCGGTTTTTCCCTCCACATTTAGAATCAACATCACACGTTGAGAGTATTTGGCTGATATACATTTCCACGTGATAAGCCACTTCTCGTTGGGCTATAATTTGTGGCCAGGTGGCTTCTGAAAAAGAGCTACAGAGCTCAGTGAGCCTTACCCTGCTAACATAATAAATAGCTAGCATGACAACAAATCACCGAGACACGCGCCTGATCTCACCACATCTCACAAGCTCGGCAGGTGCCAAGCCTGGGTCACGTATGGGATGGGCGATCGCTATGCATACCCAGGTGCTCGAGGCTACAGACGGCAGGGCTGCATGGTGGGCAGCAGAAGGCAATTCGACAGCCGATCGTCCCGTCTATCCTCCCACGTCTATACTGCAACAAACCCAAGACCGAGACGCGTGGAGAGGCATCCCATCCAGCAGTAGATTGTGCGAGACAACCCACAATGCACCCGTCATCACCACCAGCCGCCTCCCCAGACTCCATCCCACAACCACTGCCCCCCCCCCTCCCTCCTCTACATCGACGCTACCGACCCCCCCCCCCCCCACCCGCCCAAAACTTTCTACAAAAACAAAAGTCGCAGCTCTTATTTTGACCCCGGCTGTCATAACAGTGGCACGGGGCCGGGCCGCACACTCGGTGGTGTTTGTTACCTCTCTCCCCTCTGTTTACGCTGCAGCCGTCCCCTCAGTGTGGAAGCTCCCCCCCACCCCCCCCTTGTGCTTCGAGAGAATTTTACGAGATCGTAATTTTACCAAATTAAACTGTTCACAGGCCGGCAGCACAGTCTGGCTGGTTCCTGGAGGTTCCTGGAGGTTCCTGGAGCCCCCCCCCCCCCCCCCCCACAGGCAGAAGGCGACGTGGGCACCCCCCCCCCTCCATCCCGCACCCCCCCTCCATCCCCTGCCCGGAGTGATGTTTAGTGGGGGGCTAAAGCTTTTTTCTCCCCCCGACCTCCCCACCTGCCCCCCACCCCGAGTCCCTGCGGTGCTGCTTGCGAGCGGTGCGTGGGGTTGATAAACCACACCGTGCCGTGCAACTTGGTTGCACTCAAACAGCCGCATGTACACACAAAGTGGGGCCTATCGATTGCTCGGTGTATTCAATCCTCGTCGACTCGAACGCTCGAAGCACTGATTCGCTTGGCACCGTGAATGCTTCAGCGCACTGCAAGTTACGGTTTTTAAATAGCTGCCAACATCTAAATGTGAGCCTGCTCCAAATAAGCAATGCGGTGAGCTCATCTCAGCGCCAGCGGCGGAAATTCCACATTCCCGTGGCAAGAATCCAGTCTGTTATTAACAAAGCTGCTGTTGACATTACCGATTGCAACAACAATGCGATAACAATGGAATCATTTCCATCCCCGACAATATTAAGAATAAAATAATTGCCAAGTGCATTTTTTTCACAACGTTGCTAAATGTTTCCATTGAGTAATGAGATCCCTCTGGCAGTTACAACAAAGACAATAAAACATTACGACACAGAGGGGGGCGGGGGGTATGGGGGGGGGGGTTGGCGTGGGTGGGGGGATCACCCTGTCTGGTAACCAGTGGGGGGGGGGGGGGGTCAAGGATGCGTCGCCAATCCGTCGATTCCGCGGGCAAGCGACGAGCGCATCGATCCCTGGGCGTCGCCATCGATGCCTGCAGGGGGGTCAGAGCATTGATCCAGCGCCATGCGCAAGGTCCTGGGTTTCACTGCTCCCAAACTGGTGATCTGATCCGTCGGCTTCTCCAGGCGGAGTGCGCCGATGGGACCGGCCCGGCGACCCAACGGCCGCGTCAAAAGCGCAGCGAGTTACGTTTGGTTCGAATTTGGCTCAAATCCTACGATGATAATAAAAAATATTGGTTTCGACCATCACACAATGGATATCTCTCTCTCTCACCCTTCCCGTCTGTTGCCCCGCCCCCCTCGTCCCTCACCTCTCTTCATCTCGCCGTGCGACCCTGGAGAAGCACAGAGCGCTGCACCTCCTCCGCACCCCGCTCCGTTACAACCTGGAACTACTCTTCACCCTGCTCCTCCTGCTCCTCCTCCTTCACACCCCGTGCTGCTCAACTCCGGAAGTCGTCGCCACCCTGCTGCTTGAGGCCGAGTCGGCCTACAGGGTAGGCTCAGCACCGGTTCAGATAACCAACAGCGGTGTTGAACCGTGAGCGGGCATCGAACCCGGGCCACCGGGTACGTAGCGCAGCGCACAAACCGCTCCACCACCGCTCCCCACGCACGCACGCACGCAGAGTTCCCCCATCACCACTCACCTCCCCGGCGTGGACCCGGCACGAGTCTTGCCCAACGCTGCCGCCGCCACTTCCACCGCCGCTGGGATTCCTGTCCGGCGTCGGCGGGGCGACCCCGTCCGTGGCCCCCCCGCCGCCCCCCCTCCGCGTGGGGCTCAGCCGGGCCTGGGGCCCCCCCCTCTGACCCGCGCCCCCCACAGTCTGGGCCCCGCGGGGGGCCTCCAGCGACGGCGGGACCTGGTACACGTCCTGGGCCGCCAGCGACGGCGGCACCTGGTACACGTCCTGGCCGGCGTCGTGGGGCCCGTCGCCCCCCGCCGCCGCCGCCGCGGAGGAGGAAGGCGGCACCTGGTAGACGTCGTCGCGGGACTCGGCGAGGGAGGGCGGCACCCGGTAGGGGGCCTGGCCGCCGCCGGCACCGGGCGCCGCCGGCGGCACGTCGTACACGCCCTGGGAGGGCGGCACTCGGTAGAGACCTTGCGCCGAGCCCGGCGACGGTGGCACCCGGTAGATGTCCTCCTGCGGTTGCGAGCGGAAGCCGCCCCTTTCCGCGCCGGCGTTGGTGGCGCACGTCTGCCGGGCGGCGGCGGTGCCGCCGCCGGCTCCTCCCGTGCCACCTCCCTCGTAGCAGCCGACGAGCAGGCGCAGGCGGTTGCCCGGAGCGACGCCCTGGCGCCCGTGCAGCGAACAGAGCCACCAGCCCTGCAGGCCGCCGGCGTTCTGCTCCAGCACCGTGACGATGTCGCCCTTGCGGAAGGCCAGCTCGTCCGGAGACTCGGCCACATTGTCGTAGAGGGCCTTGGCGAGAACGTTCTGCCGAGAGAGGGGGGGCGGGCGGGGGGGGGGGGTGAAGAGGTCACGGTTAGGGGTCACCGCAATGGGAAACCTATTCTGGGTAAATCTGTAAGGCTTCCCCGGTGCCAGCGAGTGGTTTGTGTATGTGGGTGTGTGTGTGCACATAGCCTGGCACAAGCGCCGTGAAGAATGCCACTTGTTGTTGTGAGTGTGTTGGTGGGGGGCGGTGGTGTAGCGGTTAATGATTCCCGCTCACGGCCAACACCAGTGACGAGTATATGAACCGGTCCTTGGGCCTCCACTGGGTCGACTCGGCCTCAATTGCGTAACCGGTGTGCGATGCGCAAACATCGTCACTCGGGAGACAAAGACGGTCAGTTGGGCATGGTGCTGGCCACACATCCCCTCGTTTGCTGTGCCGGCCTTCATACGCGCTATTCACGAATAACACTTGTCCCAACAGTTTGTTAAGGCTATTACGGGGGATTTTTGTGTGCAAGCAAGTAACACAATCCCAGTAAAAACCCCTTAGTAAACTAAGAGCAAAACAACCCTACACAGACGGATATACAAGTGAAAATAAATGTGTGTTGGATGCCACAGTCATGCCCTCCCCCCTTCTCTATGCTTGTGAAACGTGCCCCCCCCCCTCCAATCCTAATGGAACATCTGCACCGGTCGGAAACATTCAAGCTGTCCTGCCGACAATCCATCTTGGGTTTAACCTGCAGGCTGGATTGGCTCAGACGTCTCCACCACCCCCCACCTCCCCCCCAGGTGAGCTCCGTGAAAGCCACCTGCCGACACCTGGGACCGGTTCGTCTGGATAGCGGTGTCCCCCCCCCCCCCACGAGACGTAACTGTACAGGGTTTGAGTTATTTGGTTCCAGCCAGATCAACATCTCGGAGGGGAGGGAAATTGTTTTGCGTCTTCTCTCCGTCAACAGTTAATCGTTACTTGTTTCCGATTTCACATTGACACAACGGGGAGGGCAGTCGCGGCAAGGACACAACAAATGGGGAAAAGATAAAGGATAACTACAATAAACTCTTCGTTTTATTTGACCAGGTCAGGTCCACTGAGCAATGTAGCTCATCTTCAGAAGCGACCTGGCCACAAACGATAGCTCGACGTAGTGGCTTATCACGTGGACACAGCAGCCAAATACTTTAAACACGTGACGTCGATTATAAGTGTGGCGGGGAAAACCGGAGGACGCGGAGAAAATCCACACGACCACAGGGAGAGAGACACGCAAACTCCAAATACACAGCAGCAGGCGTCAGGGTCGAGATCGAACTCACGACCTCCTGTGCACCAGGTGACGGAGTTAACATTTTAGAGAAAGGGAGCAGAGAAAAGGCAGTCAGCTGCTCGGCGTCTGTTCTCACAGCGGGCAGCGACGACGGCGGGGGAGGGGGGGTTAAAGTGTGGGGGGCGGGGTTAAAGTGGGAGGGGCTACACAGAAGTCACGTGATTCACGGGAGGCTTGAGCTGGTTTAGAGAGGCGAAAGTGTCAAGCGTGGTCCATGACGTACAATGGCCACCTCCACACATTCCAGCCGGGGGGCTGGACACCTGGTGAAGGAGAGCCTCACGCTCACGGCTCGTCGCGTTCCTCCAGATTAAGTCCAATGTCTGTGCTTATGTCGGGGTTGAGGGGAGTAACAAACACATCGTATCTAAGTCTGTAAGTACATATGTACGTTGAGCTTCTTTCGCGCCGTGCGGAGCCATCTGTGCTCGTCGGAGGTGCGGGGGAAGGGCAACAGACCAACACACAAAAAGCAGTTCCGAAGAAATAGATTTTCAATCTCCATGATTTAAAAGTGAATAGATCCCAGTGGCTTCCTAATATTGGAAGGAAGAGCCTTCCAGACGGCCGAAGAAAGGGCATCTGAGAGCGTGCGATGCGGTGATCGTCTTTGTTCAATGGCCAGCCAAAAGGCCCTGCGAGGACGATCGGAGTTTGCGTGATGATGGTTTATGCTCCTTGACGAGATCAGCGAGGTGTCGTGGTTCATTTGTCGCCGAGCACTTGGTGTGTAATGAGCGAGACCTTAAAATGTATTTTCAGCCAACCGGAATCCAATGCAGCTCAGCGAGCACCGGACGGACAGAGTCGGATCTTCCAGTACCCGTCACGACACGTGGGGCAGGGTCCATCATGGCCGGGGTACATCGTGGGTAGGGTACATCGTGGCTGGAAGGGCCAATGGCTGTATGTGAGACTGGTGCTGGAATGGCAGCCAAAGGAGAGAACGCACACCACCCGAGTCTGGCCCCCGTGGAGATTGGAGCAATGAGATCGGCACTTGGGCAGGGGTGGGTCTTCCATCCAGCAGAGGATAGAGCACACCTCTTGACGATGGTGATGGCAGTGATATTTGTCTCGGGCCAGTGATAGACCGTGTCTCGTGACGATGGCAATATTATTGGTACCCGGTCACAGGTGGCGACTCGTCGTGACGTCGCCGATTGTGATGACAACAACAACCGCCATTCGCCACTAAGTGGTGGTGACGTCACCACGACGCTTGTGCCAGGCTGTGTGCACGTTGAGGCCACGTGAAGTGTCGAACGCCCGCTGGCAGGTGGTCATGGGGCAAACCCAGGTGCCACGGGTCGACTGACTGAGACGACTGAGATGACTGGCTGATGCACCACCTGTGCCCCCTACTGTGCCAACTTGCTGTGCTTTAACTACCCCGCACTCCGCTCGTTGTTGTGAGCGTCGCTCCTCCACCCTCCGTTGTTGCTGGAGGGCGACTGCCTCCAACTGCCCAGTAGCGTCCTTCACGAACCTCCTCCACTGAGGCCGATCTTGACACCACTGGTACCAGTCATCGGCAAGTCCACTCAGCTCCACGTCCTCCTGTACCACATCACTCCATCTCTTCTCTCGCCCGTGCCACGCCCGTTTAGCCCCCTCGATCCCGACGAACAAAAGCTGTTTAGGCATGCGGGCTACATGACCCAGCCAACGCAATCTTGCCTGGCGTAGGAGCTCAACGATGGGACTTTGTTCAGATCTTTCAAGGATATGTGAGCTCCTCACACAATCCAGCCTGGTTAAACCCATGATGGATCATAGGCAGGCCAGCCTGAATGTTTCTAACCGGCGAAGATGTTCCATTAGGGGGGTCCACGTTTCACAAGCATAGATAAGGGAGGGAATGACTGTGGTCGAGAAGACCTGAAGCTTAGTGCAGAACGACAGACCAGGTAGCTTCCACAAAGCATTATGCAACCGATGAAAAGATTATGCCGCTCGACTGATTCGGAGTGAGACCTCTGGTGTAAAACCAGAGCCAGTCATGAGCACACTGCCCAGGTATGGGAAACTCTCCACTCTCTCGACAACTGCCCTATTGCCAATTGGGAGTTGTAGGCGTGGAGTGTCGGATGGTACAAAATACCCAGGCAGGTGCTTATTTTTGGTGGGACTGATGATAAGTCCCCACCTCTTAGTGGCAAGCTCCAGGTTCAGCAGCAGCACCTCCAACTCCCCCTGAGTGAGCAGCAATTACCAGATCATCGGCATACATAACGTGGTTGAGCAATAGGGAGCCATCCCTTAACCGCACGCGGGCATCGATCAGCCTCCCATTGTATCTGTACCAGATGGAAATTCCTCCAGTACAGCTATTAAACGCTTCACGAACTACGCGGTCGAAATAGATTGTGATGACACACGCACGCAGACATGCACACACGCGCGCGGCATATGTGAGCTCCACCATAATCTCTCGCACTGGCGTTGTGCCAGTCGCCCACGATGCTCCGTGTCGAGCTTGGTGGCGTCACAGTTACCGAGCAAGGCAAAGGCCTCTCCGAGTCTGAGCCGTACTGCTGCAGCCCACGGTGCCCACTGGAATGTGGCACGCAGTCGAAGAACTTTAGATGCTTTCTCCCTCCTGCTTCGGAGATTCACACCCCACCCACAACACCACCCCCCCCACCACAGATCGTGGCATTTGTTTGCGATGTCCACAGGTCACAACCAGACAAAGACAAAGATGCTCCACCTCCACGCATAGCCGACACATTCTGGTGGGGGCAAGTGCTGTTATCGAGAAACTACGAAGGCCGGCACGGCGCACGAGGAGGATGGCGTGTGGGTCAGCACCACGCCCGGCCGCATTTTTCCCCCTAATGGCGACGTTTTACACATGGCACCAGCTGTTCATTCGAGGCCGAGTCGACCTAGGGGAGGAGCAGGGCCGATTTAGATTATCGTTACTGGTGTTGACCGTGAGCGGGAATCGAACTCGAGTCGCCGGGTTCGTAGCGCTGGTCCCCCACTATCACAAAGACACACACACATACGCACACACATGGATGGAATAGGGATGAAGGTTAGGGAGAACGCAGAGCGAGAGCCCAAACCGCCTACACACACCCCACCCAACCTCCAATCAAAATATATATATTTTTGCCTCTGCAAATGGAAAAAACAAAATCATAAAAATACTGAAACGATAACAAATCTTGCTTTGCGCACGACAAGATTGTCCCCCCTGATGTTGCTGGGAAGGCCGGGGGTTGTTGACTTGAAGTCCATTCTGCACAGGGAGGGGGAGCGGAGCCGCGTGGTGGTGGTGGTGGCGGCTGTGGCGATTACGATCGTCAACTGATACTGCTGCTGCCGGTTTAACCCCCATCGCACCCGTGCCAGGAATCAAACCTAGATTACAGCAGGCAGTGGGGGGAGGAGGGGAGTCATGGTTGGGAAGGAGCAGGCAGGGGTAAGGATCGCTAAGCCAGAGGAGGATTGGTAGCCAGAGCAGAGCGAGCAACGGGAAACAGGTGGGCTGCGTGGTGTAGATGAGAACAGAGGATCCTCGGTGGCAATGCGAGCATCAGGAGGAGCCGGGATAAGAAGCCAGGGATGGGCCAGGGATGGACCAGGGAGTGCGGGGAGGACCACGGAGATGCAGTGAGAAGCGTGGAGTGAGCGAGCAGCAGGTTGGTCGCGGGCAGAGGCGTGGAGGCGCAATACGAGCGACGAAACGCA